CAATCTTAGAATTTTACTTGGAAGTTGTCCAGAGAGTTGGCTATATGTATACCACACATGGTCCTTGGCAATAAACTTAGAGGAAAGATTTACACAACTCCCAATATTCTTCATGTGTGCCTGACATTCCTCTTTTCGGTAGTTTTATTTCCAAAGAGGCTTTTCCTTCATTTCCTTCCCCAAACAGACAACATTGCTGAGAGGATGGTTGCTATGTTTCAGTTCAGAAATTGTTTTGCTTCAGTAGTGTGTAGGCAGTCCTGATAAAACTAAGATCTTTGGGAAGAAATCATGCTATAAACGAGGTACTTAACTACAGTTCTCATCACCTTGTCAGAAAAAAAATCCAGGCTTTTTTTCCATACATACCCATGCTTCCTTGGTTTAGTTTGGGGTGACCTTCTGGAAGGCACAATGCCACAAACATCACATTAACAATGACTCTCTAACAGAAAAACCCAACCAAAAGGCAATTTTGGTTCCATAGAATAAAGATTTAGGTTAGTGTCAACCCATCTTTCATTGTTCTCTTCAACTTTCACAAGTAGGAAAGATTGTAGACTTTCTTATCTTATTAAGAAAACATGAAATGTATTTCAGAATAGGGTGCAAAATTAAGAAGGCTGTTTTCCAAATGGTGTAAGAACTTCATAATCCCTCGTGTTGTTTCTGCTAATTAGCAATGACATGTGGATTGCTGAATCTCCCCAAGAGATTTCACTGTAAGATCAAAGAAAAAATAGGATAGGCTAGAAGTAAAAAATTTCTATAAAAAATCTATAGATTTTTTTCATAAAACAATGAGGCTTAGAAATGAAATGTGTGGGAAAGGTGCATGAATAGTGCTGCACCTGAACTTGTGTTTTAATGAGAGCCTGCTCTGTTTCTCTCAGAAAGTCTCCTATTAAATAACATGCTCCAAATGTGATGTTAAGAGATTGTTTGGGGTGTTGCCTGGCCGGTGTGGCTCAGTAGTTGAGTGTCGACTTATGAACTGCGGGGTCATTCCTGGTCAGGGTACATACCTGGGTTGTGGGCTCAATCCCCAGAAGGGGGCATTCAGGAGGAAGCTGATCAATGATTCTCTCTTATTATTGATGTTTCTCTCTCTCTCTCTACCTCTCCTTTCCTCTTTCTGAAATCAATTTAAAAAACATATAAAAAGATAAAATCTTAAAAAAAAGGAGTTTGTTTGGGTACAATCCAGAGCCAAAGCACAAAAAGTACAGGAATTAATGGAACCCAAACTAGAGCAACTCTTTAAAACATATTCTTTAAAGTCTTCTTGCAAATACTCTACAGAGACAGCTGCTGGGTTTGTGCCAGTGACCCATTCTGAGGGTGCTGACAGGAGCTTCCTGTTATTTAGCCGCTCACTGCAAGGCAGCTAGGCATCTTTCCCCTTTTTATCCTGTGGCCATATTTAGGCTGCTGAGTATCCAAGTTTCATTACCCAAGGGCAGCTCCAGGCTCCTTGGGAATAGGCTAGGAATGTGGGCTGGGACCAAGAGAATGAGCCCAGAGGGCCTGCTACTCCAATGGCATTTACCTGAGGACCATCCTATCTCCAGCCAAGTCAATGTAAAAGCCTGACAAACATTGTGGTAGATTTTCCCCATGTCTCAGATACACCCATACACAGGGAAATCTAAATTAGAGGTTCACTAACAATCATCACACTGAAAGGAAGGAGGACCTAAGTAACTCTGGAAAACAATATTTTGGCTAATAAGGCTAAAAACAAAAATAATGGCATAAATATTATACTCTACTCAGTAAATTTATTTCCATAGTTACATGGGTTAGGTATTCTGAAACTACTTTATAATATACTAAGATTAAATAAGTAAGTAAATATATTTAGATAATAAGCTTCAGATTATTCACTGTCAGATAAAGAACTTCTAGATAAGCAAGAAGGAAAGGCTATGCTAAAACCTGTGGTGCTGGGTTAGGGTTGAAGTTATTTTATTGTATACTAGAGGCCTGGTGCATGAAATTTGTGCACTCAGGGGCGGTCCCTCAGCCCGGCCTGCGCCCTCTTGCAGTATGAGAGCCCTCAGGGGATGTCCGACTGATGGCTTAGGCCCACTCCAGGACATCCTCAGCGCTGCTGCGGAGGTGGGAGAGGCTCCCGCCACTGCCACTGCGCTTGCCAGCCGTGAGCCCAGCTCAGGGCTTCTGGTTGAGTGGCGCTCCCTCTGTGGGAGCGCACTGACCACCAGGGGGTAGCTCCTGCATTGAGTGTCTACCCCCTGGTGGTCAGTGCACATCATAGCGACCGGTCATTCCGCCATTCGGTCAATTTTCATATTAGCCTTTTATTATATAGGATACACAGATAGATACAGAAATAAGTTACAAATAAGGAAGGGGGAAGGATAGTATGACCCTGTGTGTTGCACTGGACTTGGAGGCACCATTGTGAACTCATGGATTTTAATATGCATACTGACAGCCACAGAAATAAATATAATGTGTGTGAACGTGTGGGTTTGTATACATACACATATTTCCCAATTATGTCTGCTGAGAGGGGAGGGCCTAGAGACAATGACACTCCAGGAGCAGTGAACATACCTAGTTCCATGATCTTGGTTTCTAAATATTATTCTCCAATAAAAGGAACCAGGTTCCATGTAGAAGTGGTTGATTCCAGGGTTAGGACAGGGAAAAACAAGATTAGCCTAAAACATCTTGTGATAGACAGAAAGGAAGTACCCAAAAAAGATGTGTTTTGAAAGGGCAAAAGAGTCAACTTGAAACATTTCCTAATGGCCAAAGTTAGAACAATTTGAGTAAGAAAGTAAACAACAAAAATATTAGGTTATAACCCACAGAATAAAATAAATACCCATGAGTCTATATTGATACAGACAAATTATTGAATAAATGAATAAATAAATAACTGGGGAAGAAGAGGTAGTTTTTCCTTCTAGAAGAATTTCAATTAATAAATGGAGAAAAATGAGGGAAATACAAAATTATCATTAGACAAATATCACATTATATAATTGTTACAGGCAAGATCCACCAATAGATGCTAAAATTAATAGGTGAAAGTTTAAGAATAAGCAGGATAGCTGCATAATTTCACAGTATTTCCTCTAAGACATTTATGGGTTACAAAGGGAAAATAGTAACTTTATAGTGGGGAAACCCATCAGACACAATCTTAAGTGATCAAGGTTAACATCAGCAGTAAGAAGACATATTAATGTTATGTACCCCCAATATGATGTGCTGAGATGGGCAGAACCTCACTTCTTGTAATATTCTTACCAAAAATGCATAATCTCAATCTAAGCAGAAGAAAACATCAGAAAACCCAAATTGGGAGACATTCTACAATATGCCTGACTAGTACTCTTCAAAAAGGTCAAGATCATAAAAGATAAGGAAAGATAGGAACTGGGAGGAGACTATGGACATAACAACTAAATGCAACACGAAATTATGGACTGAGTCCTAGAACAGAAAAAGGACATAACAGAAAAACTGGTGACATTCTAATCCTATATAATAAAAGCCTAATATGCTAATTGTCTGACCATTCCTTCGACCAGTCACTATGACACACACTGACCTCTAGGGGGCAGATGCTCCGACTGGTAGGTTAGTTTGCTGCTGGGGTCCAGCTGATCGGGACTGGGCGAGATGGGCCTGACACGCCCTGGAGCCCTCCCGCGGTCCCTCCCTGGCCCCGATAGTGCACTGGTGGGGTCTCTCGGCTTTGGCCTGCACCCTCTTGCAATCTGGGACCCTTTGGGAGATGTTGGAGAGCTGGTTTTGGCCCAATCCCTGCAGGCCAGGCCGAAGGACCCCACTTGTGCATGAATCTGTGCACCGGGTCTCTAGTAGAAGCTATCGTTTAGTTAATGGTATTTAATGGTATCATACCAATGTTAATCTCCTAGTTTTGATAATTATACTATGCTTATGCAAGATATTAATATTGGGGAAAGCTGGGTGAAGGGTATTCAGGAACTCTGTGTACACATTTTTGCAACTATTCTGTATGTCTAAGATTATTTAAAAATAAAAAATATGCCATAACTGGTTTGGCTCAGTGGATAGAGCGTCGACCTGCGGACTGAAAGGTCCCAGGTTTGATTCCGGTCAAGGGCATGTACCTTGGTTGCAGGCACATCCCCAGTAAGGGGTGTGCAGGAGGCAGCTGATCGATGTTTCTCTCTCATCGATGTTTCTAACTCTCTATCCCTCTCCCTTCCTCTCTGTAAGAAATCAATAAAATATATTTAAAAAAAATAAAAATAAAAACTATAATAATAAAGTATAGGTTCAAATCAATCAGAATCTATGACAAAGTGGAGATAATTCATTCACAATCTCATGTTTACATACACTGGCTGGTCCTTCTAAAATTGAGTAATCTGTTTTAGCAGGGCACTATATTTGTAAAATTCTTATGTGTCTAAAATTCATACCTAGCACTTACATCTAAAACACACATTATTATTTCTTCTTCTTGTATAGTGGACTTCCCCAATAAAGTTTAAAAGTTAATCTTATTGGGAACACATATCTCATTCATCTCTCACTGGTTGGGTAATATATCATGGCACTGTTTCCTTATGTTTCTCAAGATGGCCCCCTGAGTACTCATTTGCTTCCTACTTTCTTTCAGAAATCTGACCTGTTACTGCAGGAGGTCACACCCACTCTGTCAGTCTCAGGAAGGACACAGCATCTAAGAGTCTTTGCCAATCTTTCTCAAAATGTTAATCCCAATTCTTAACATTTCCTCCTACCACACTTCCCTCTTTATTCCTAAAGCCAAAACTCTGACCAAACTCTTGTTGTTTTATATCTGAATTCTTATGACTTCTTGACCGTCAGTCTAAAAAGCCACCATCAAATATGTTTAGCTTAAAAAAAAATCGGCTCAGTTGGGCTTAGTGTTGCTTTATCCCATCTCTGATGGAGCTTTTGTCATTTATGCTACAGAATGCTGAGTAAAGAAACACTACAATTCCCACCTGGTGATTTTCCTTGTAAGTTTGGATTAAGAACTCTTTCAGTTTCTTCTTTCTTTCTTTTGCCATTTTTTCTTCCTCCAGAAGAGTATGAACATCTTGAAACATGCCTTTTTCTGGATATTTTGGAGAACTTTCTTCTTGCTTTTTCTTCTCTCTATTATAACAATTTAAAAATACACACATGAACAACAGACTTAACAATGAGTAATTACAACAGACCATAGTGGAATGAATACTGAATTTTCCATCAGGAGACACAGATTTTTAGATCTGGCTTTAAAGCTACATAATAGGGTAGTTTGTGTTTTTTTTTTTTTTGAGCCTTAGTTTATACCTTTTTAAAATAAAATACAGGTAAAATGAAATAAAATTGTTATAATGTACTCTGAAAAGTAGACATCTCTATAGACATTTTAGTAAAGTATTTTTATTGAGTTTAATATTGAGTGATATTGTGATCAAACTTTGAGAGTTAACAACTACTAGGTATTCTCTAACATAGACATAAATTCTCTCTCTTCTCATAAGGGTGGCACAAAAAAGGAATGAGATTTTTACAATAAGGCATTTACAAGGTTTCTAGGGAGAAAGATAATAAAAGAATCAGGTGTTACCGAGTAAGAACAGAATTTATATTAATCCTGAAAGAGCTAAAAAGAGAAAATACAGAACTTAATAAAAATAAAGAAAAGGCTTTCGGGCAAGTCACAAGAGTCTGTTAGTAACTTCACTGCTTATCTTTCTGGTCATCCTCTTTCTCGCCCAATTACCGATTCTTTCTCATCTAGGTCACCCCTCTTATATTTATGTAAGCGCATAGCCACTGCCTTCTTGTTGGAGTATATTAAGCTGCATAGGTATGTGAATAAGGTCTACATACTACTAATGTGGTAGTAAACATAACACCAAGTCAGGAATCAGGATTCATGGACTTGGGCCACAAATCAGCTGTGAAAACTCAGGCAAGTCACCTAGCCTTTCTCCACATCACTTTACATTTGTGGGAACTCAAACTGAAACAGGGATGTCTGAGTATTCTGCAGATATTCTCTCCCTAATTCTCCTATCTCAGTGGTTGGCAAACTGTGGCTCTTTGGCCCCTTGAGTGTGGTTCTTCCACAAAATACCACATGCGGGAGCGCACGTACAGTGCGATTGAAACTTCATGGCCCATGCGCAGAAGTTGGTATTTTGCCGACCACTGTCCTATCTCATACAAGGGAGCACACAGTGTTATATCTTATTACCGGTGATGTTAACCATCACTTGGTTAAGGTGGCTTCTCCAGTACAAAGTTGCTATTTTTCCCTTTGTAATTAATAAATCTCTTAAGGGAAGCTCCTTTGAAACTATGCAATGAAGCAGATTTAGGTTAGCTTACAAATAAGTTAAAAAACCCTACCAACAATACAATTTAACTGAATTTTTTCCAAACTTACCAATGCCACGACGACACAGTACTAGATGGTTTTAGGCAGATCATAGTGGGCATTTAAAGAAATACAGTTCTAATGCCATGGATCTGATTTTTAAAAATAAGTATCTGTTGTGAAAGTATTATCTGCTCATTGTGAAAAAGTGGAGAGGTATACAAGCCATCTATATTCCTCCCAGAAAAAACACACAACATGTCAGAGCTATTTCATTGCAGAATCGTTGTTTATTAATTCCTCCACTATTTATTAATGCCTGTTATCATAAATAGTATTACTTTAATTATCTTTGTGCACAAATCTTTGTCTGGATTTCTGCTCATTTTCTTAGGGCAGTTTCCCTACAATTGGAAATTCCCAGGTCCTGATAGCAACATTTTTATAGCTCTTGTTGTTTATTGCCAAATTGCTTTCTGGGATGCTTAAATCAGTTTATCCACCTAGAAGTATAGCACAATTCCTCTCTCACTGTAACCGGGGTATGATTTTTTAACTTTTAAAAGAAATGACAGGTCAGTGAACATCTGCTGAGTGCCCACTGGAGAAGAGCTTCCTGCTACCATCAAATGTTACTTGCTTCACAATTTATTTTAGGTCTGCCTAGGTTTGTCAGGGCTTAAGAGCAATCTGAAAAGCAAGGCTGACCTCAGCAAGAACTCACGGAAACCCTGGTGACTGCTTTCTAAAAGGAATGGCGTCTGGAGGAGGCCCGAGCCTGGCACTTGAAAGCGAAGTGCAAGTCCACTGCCGAGCTGTTTCAAATGGTGCAGAATGAGAGTAATCAAGAACACAGGGGGAAAGCTGTGTGGGCTGACAGGGTGGGAGGGATTATCTAATAGTCTTGCTGGCCTCTCAGTTTGAGTATTCAGCCACTTCAGGCACGTTATTCCAAGGCTTTTGCAGCTCATACATCAATGCTATTTCTCCCAACAAATACATCAGTTATTTCATTTTTGAAGCTCATTTTTTCATGAAGATTCCTAACAGTCCTACATCCTGTGAGAACTATTTTGTTTTTCTTCTTATGTTAGATACTAGTGACCGGGTGCATGGATTCCTGCACATTGAAAGGAAATTAATTAGAAAAGATATTTTAATATCGCTATTCGCCCTTTTTCTATAATAGAAGTGTCAACCAAATTGACACACATGCAATTGGCGCAAGAGCTTTATATGTAGTGTGCATGCACAAGTCAACTTAGCCTTTTAAAGATATAGAATAAACTTGCTTAATTAGACCTGCTTTCTGACTTAGCTAAACTTTTTCCAGCCCAGTGAAGCACCCCAACTCCAACTTCTCTTTCAGGTAATTGTCAGCAACACAACAGTAAATATCAACACAAAGGAGATTATTATTGTAGATCATGCAGGGAGACAAAGGGTAAAATATTTAACTGCAGTAGTGTTTGACTATATTATGCCCAGTGAGAAAACCTGAAATCATTTTCAAGGTCCACCGTTTCTTACTTCTTTTCAGTTGGGTGAAGTTTCTAAACATTCTAAATCTCTGTTTTCCAGCTAATGTAAAGAAAATAGGATTCTACCGAGTCTCCTATCTGCCTACTCCAGGACTTCTGTGAGGATCAAATGAGATGAGGCACGGGAAAACACTTCACAGACATTTGGTTAAAGTGTGAAATGTTTGCACCTGGCTATAAAGCAAGTCGTCTTCCTGGGCTGAAGAAACTGGAAGGAGGCTAATCGCTAGGGAGAGGAAGCTGGGTGTTGCTACGTGATGTCATTACCCAGTGCCCACAGTGACCATTTCTGGGCTGGGCTATGGGCCGTATTTTGTGCCATGGGGTCTTGGCAGCATTGGCTGTGATTTGGTGGGGTGTCGCTCCGGGGTGGTGGGGGGGCCTGTGTCCCACTTGGAGGAAGCTGAGTATTGCTTTGTTGGCGCCAGGTCCATGGTGCTGTTTCTTTGTAAATGGCCAGTGCATGTCACAGCAGCTCCTGCATTGAGCGTCTGCCCCCTGGTGGTCAGTGAGCATCAAAGTGACTGTTTGGATGGTCAGAGGGACACTTAGCATATTAGCCTTATATATATAAAGACTAGAGGCCCAGTGCATGAATTCATGCACCGGTGGGGTCCCTCAGCCTGGCCTGCGCCCTCTCGAAATGCGGGACCCCTTGGGGGATGTCAGAGAGCCGGTTTCGGCCTGATCCCCACAGGCCAGGCCGAGGAACCCCACCGGTGCATGAATCCGTGCACTGGGCCTCTAGTATGCATATAAGATCTTTGGTTAATCTCTTCCCGCCCTCCCTCCTCTCCTCTTCCCTCTGAGATCAGAAGATAAGACTTATGCAATTCACAACAGGGTGAGGCACAATTAAACCTTAAGAATGTTCAGGTAACTTGCCATAACCGGTTTGGCTCAGTGGATAGAGCGTTGGCCTGCGGACTGAAAGGTCCCAGGTTTGATTCCGGTTAAGGGCATGTACCTTGGTTGCGGGCACATTTCCAGTAGGGAGTGTGCAGGAGGCAGCTGATCGATATTTCTCTCTCATCGATGTTTCTAACTCTCTATCCCTCTCCCTTCCTCTCTGTAAAAAAAAAAAAAAAAGAATGTTCAGGTAACCTAAGAGATGCAAACTAACCAATATAATACCTATTGAAAGTGCAAAACATGTTGAAAATGATAATACTCTTCAATGCTGAGAAAAGTGTGGAAAACTGGCCTACTGCCAGTAATAGTATAAATAAGTCCAACCCATTTGGAAAGCAGTTTGGCAATATTTCAAGAGTCATAAAAAGGCCTATACCATTTGACTCAGTAATTACACTTCTAAGAATATAATTCAAAAGAATAGAAAAGTTCTATGCTTAAGGATGCTCAGTGCACTACTGGTGAAAAAAATCTGAAATAGCTGTAATGCTTACGAGTATAAGGAGGGGAGATCATTGCATAAATTATGGTATAGGACAGTGATGGCAAACCTATGAACTCATTTTTTTGGTTGATTTTTCTTTGTTAAATGGCATTTAAATATATAAAATAAATATCAAAAATTTAAATATATAAAATAAATATCAAAAATATAAATCTTTGTTTTACTATGGTTGCAAATATCAAAAACTTTCTATATGTGACACGGCGCCAGAGTTAAGTTAGGGTTTTTCAAAATGCTGACACGCCGAGTTCAAAAGGTTCGCCATCACTGGTATAGGAACTCAATGGAGTAAGATACAGATCTTAGGACTCCAATTAATGTGATAATTGCAACCAGAATAACAAATTAGGGCCCTGGCTGGGTAGCTCATTTGGTTAGAGTGTCGTCCTGATACGCCAAGGTTGCCAGTTTGATCCCGTCAGGACACATACAAAATCAACCAATGAATGCATAATAAGTGAAACACAAAAAAGAATAACAAATTAGATGTACTTTATAGCTGCAATTAAATATGTAAAAGGACCAAGACCAGGAAGAAATACATGGAAAAGTGAAAGAGTTAATTTGTTAAGATGGTGGAATAGTGGGTGATTTCTCTGTTGTGTTTTGCAATTTTAATGTTTGTGCATTTTAAAAGACTTTGGAGTACTTCCAAAATGACTGCTTAATACACTGCTCATCACAGCTGGCTTACATTTTCCATGCTTCTTGCACTGTGTGCCTCCTCTCAATTATCTCCCTCCGCAGCTTTACCATCTCCCTCTGAATTGCCTCCTCTTCTTTCTTGGCCTCCAGAGCCTTCCTTCTCTTCTCTTCTTGCACCAGATACTGAGCCTCTAAGAAGGCAGATTTTTTCAGGGTCTTTTCAATTCTCTGGCGCTCCAGTTCTTTCTCCCGTCTTAAGCGATTTTCTTTTACCTTAAGAAGAGAATACAAGGGGAAAATGCAGCCTTTCAAGTAGAAAGGGATTTACAAAACTGTGGAACACATTTTAAGTTCAGAATAGACCTATTCTGCTCCAGAACCCCACCGTTTATCAGAATAATGGAGAGAATTCATTTGTTTACTGGGTAAGGACCAATACGAAATTTTAAGTGAAGTTAGTTAAGATGACTCTCAACAATTAGGGAATAATCTGTACCAAGAAAAAATTGAAAATCTAATGGGTCAGCTGCCAAGTTCTGAACTCTTATTTAGTAATGATTTCTCATCAATAAGATTTTACAAATTACTCTATTTATTTAGGCCATGCCTGCATACTACTTATAATTTTGAAAAGATTAATATTTCGGGGAGGCTACATTGTAAAGGATAGAACAATGATTTACAGATGGTCCCTGATTTATAATGGTTCTACCTACAATTTTTCGACTTTAGAATGGTGCAAAAGCAATACATGTTCAGTAAACCATACTTCAAATTCTGAATGCTGATCTTTTTCTAGGCTAGCGATATGTGGCATGACACTTTCTCGTGATGCTGACAGCTGCAGTGAGATGATTTTGCCCGCCTGTAGGCTATGCAAGTGTCCTGAGCATGTTTAAGGTAGGTAGGTGGTAAGTTAGATGTATTAAATGCATTTTTGACTCATAATATTCTCAACTCATGATATATTTATTGAGCTGTAACCCCATTATAAGTCAAGGAGCATCTATATTGCCTTAAGGAACACCACAATCTTTTATTCATTTCCATGATGATTTAAATATTGTATATTGATGATTCTGGATCATACTTGAAAACCAAAACCATGAACTTCACAGGTATTTCTGAATAAGCACAATAATTTTTAAAACCTATTAATTCTTTAGAGGCTTGACTAGCTATGAATTAACGAGTGGTCCTTTCCCTCCTGCTTCATTTAACTTTACCTGTATCTTACCATCCAGTTATGACTTCTAGATAATGGCTATCTCTTATTGAAACTTCTTTTCTCCTCTCTATCATAAATCTAAACCAGGATATACTTCTACCCAGTTTTCCTAACATCCCAGTGCCAATTAGGCACACTTTATGGTTTAAAGCAATCAGAGATTCAGTGTTATAAAAAGGTGGCACACGTGTATAAACATTAATTCAGTTCAGTCTTAGTTCTGGACTTGTGGCAAAGGCTGGGCCATTCTGATTTCCTGAAGCTCCTCTACAAAGTGTCAGATGCATCTTTTTCCTGTAACCTACTATTCCCTTTGGAGAAAAGAAAGTTTCCATATGCCTTTCTAATTCAAAACAGCTGAACTAGATTTAATTCAGATCTGTCCTCCCTTTCAAATTATCACAAAATGAGTGAATTTTTCAGTTGTCTAGAAAAGAATTACCATTCTAAGATTCAACAGAATATTCATGATATTAATATATTGATGTCTCAATTCAAAAACCAAATTCAAGCAAAACCCAATCTACCTATTTGTAATAGGAAGAACCACATCCAAATTAATAAAGTTTAGCCCAACACTGTTGGTCAAATTCAATTATTCCTTTTTTGGGGTTTTCTTAAATAGTTTTCTATCCTCAGTTTATGAGCATTATTTTTCTTCTGAAGTTCTTATATTTTACTCTTATTCTTTCTAACCAAACGACAGATGGCACCCTTTTTCATAATAAGGCTTCAGTCTTTATTTAAGCTTATTAAATGTATTATACAAAGATTGCTTCCTGTTATCCATTTTAATTTTGTTTTTCCCTCCCACCTGCTTATGTCTTATCTCCATGGTAAGACGAGGATCCTTCTGCTGCTTCTTGTCGTGGTTTCCACTCATTTCGATATCTTCCAACATCCCAGAATCCACCACATTTTTATGGAGCAGATGGTCTATAAATTTTTGAACAGTGCTACTTTCCTCTTCTTCCTCCAAGTAGCCACATAAATCTGGAAGGAACAGAACAATGACAAAAAAGAAAAATTTAAAAAATTTAATGTAATTTCCATATTTATATAAGGAAGGCTAATGCAAGTGTCCTGGTACAATAAAAATAAAATATTGTGAGTGTTTAATAAATAGTAACTGATAATGCCAATTGCATGAGTATAGGCCTCAGTAATTAACTACAACTAAGAGGGGGAAAAAAAACCCCTCTACTCATGAATTGCCCTCACCCAAGTCACTAAAGACTCCCTCACTGTCAGATTTAAAATATATTACTTTAATCTAAACATCCTTGAGGCCTCTACTGCTTTTTAAAAAAATGGCTTAACAATTTACAAAAAATTGTAAATATTTATTTATTTATTTATTTTTAAGCCAGACTTCCATTTCAAGGGAAACTTTTTAATTTTTAATTTTTAAAATATATTTTTATTTATTTCAGAGAGGAAGTGAGAGGGGGTGAGAAATAGAAACATCAATGATGAGAATCATTGATTGGCTGCCTCCTGCATCCCCCGCTACTGGGGATCGAGCCAGCAACCTGGGCATGTGCCCTTGACTGGACTTTAACCCAGAACCCTTCAGTCTGAAGGCCGATGCTCTATCCACTGAGCCAAACCGGCTAGGGCTAAACCATAAATATTTAAAGTTTACAATATTTTTTGACATACATATACCAGTAAACCATCACTACAGTCAAGATAATGAGCATGTCTGTCAGCGTCCAGAAGGTCCTCATGCTTATTTGTAATGTCTCTTTCCCACTCTTCCCCATGTTCTCTGCCTTATCCCAAGCAACCACAGACCTACTTTCTGTCATTATAGACTAGAGGCTGGATGCATGAAATTCGTGCAAGAGTAGGCCTTCCTTCCCCCGGCTGCCAGCACCAGCTTCTCTCTGGCACCCGGGACCCAGGCTTCCCTCTGGCTGCTGGCAGGCACCCAGGACCTGGGCTTCCCTCCAGCCGCTGGCAGGCACCCAGGACCCGGGCTTCCTTCGCAGCCCTGGCTTTGTCCAGTAGGTCGTCCGGAAGGACGTCTGGTCTAATTAGCATATTACGCTTTTATTATTATAGATTAGGTTATATTTTCTAGAATTTTGTAACAATTACATCATATGCTATGTACTCTTTTTTTTCTTTTTGGTCAGGCTTCTTTTACTCAGCATAATTATTTTGAGACTCATCCATGTTATATCAATAGTTTATCTTTTTTTACTGCTGAGTAGTATTCCATTGTATGGGTATATCACAATTTATTCACTCATTCACCTGTGGATAAACATTTGGGTTATTTTCAGATTTGGGCTATTACAAACAAAGTTGTTATGAACATTTGTATATAAGTCTTTGTATGAACGTATGCTTTCTCTTCTCTTGGGAAGAGAAACTTTTCAAGAAACTGCCAAACTGTTTTTTTCCCAAAGTGGCTATATGATTTTACCTTCTCATGAGCAATATGGAAGTATTCTAGTTCCTCTACATCCTGACCAATATTTAATTTAAACCATTTTTAAAAGGTGTGTAAGTGGTTACTCATGGTAGTTTTAACTTTCATTTTCCTAATGACTCACAACATTGAACATCTTTCCTGTTGATGTTCTGTTTAGTACACCATGTAGTTCCATACATTATTAAAAATGGGGTCTTAAAGCCTCCAGTTGTCATTACTGAATGATCTATTTCTCTCTTCAATTCTGTCAGTTTTTGCTTCACATATTTTGGGTCACTTTTTATTGATTAAGGTATTACATATGTGTCTTAACCCCCCATTGCCTCCCCACCCTACTCCCGTTCATGCTGGGGGACTTTTGTTAAGTATATATGTATGTTAATACTTATATTTTCTTGATGGATTGACCCTTTGATCATTATAAAACTCTCTTCTTTGTCTCTATAGCATTTCTTTTATCTCGGTTTATTTTTTTCTGATATTAGTAAGTTGCTCTTGTTTTCTTTTGGTTACTGTTTGCACAGTATTTCTTTTTCCATCCTTTTACTTTCGACCTATTTATATATTTGAAACTAAATTGTGTCTCTTATAGACAGGATATAGTTATGTCATATTTTTAATTCATTCTGCCAATCTCCATCTTTTTTTTAAAAAAATCCTCACCTGAGGATAAATGTCTACTGGTTTTAGACAGAGAGAGATAGACAGAGAGAGAAACACTGATGTGAAAAACATCGATCGAAGAGGGAACACAATATTATTTTCTGTGGCACTAATGGGTAAAAGTTACTGAGGACAAAATTCTAATTCTTCTAACTGAGAGAGAATGCTGTGGAGATCAGAGCCTCACAACAGCTGAATGGGCTCCTCCCCAGGGCAGCCTCTCCATCCTGGGAGGTGTTCCGCAGAGATTATAGCACCCCACCGTAGGTATACTGGAGAAGGATCTCTATCTGCGGGGTGAAGAGAACAGTTCAGACTAGGTAATCTTGAAGGATTCCTCTAACTGTAAGAACTCATGACTTTGTGATTCCTGAGTTGGGGATTTGTAGCGTCCGAACAAGGGGAATGCTGCCAGGTGAGTTCACCAAGGCATGAGTAATGCATGAGGAGCTGCCACTACTGTCACTATGCCTACCATTATGCTCAGGGGAAAAATCTCAGGCTCTTTGGCTACATTTGAAGAATCATCACAAGTTAGCTATTTAACTAGCTCTGTGTACAAGTAATTATTTTCCCTATAAAGATATAAGAAGCATTTTGTAAATATAAAATGATATACGGGTGTCTAAATGTAGTCTCTAAAGTAAATAGCCATCCAACAATATATAGGAAGAGGCACTCTTAAACAGCATTATTTACTATTATAATTATCCTATGTAATAAAAACGTAATATGCAAATCAACTGAACGGCCGAACAGCAGAACGACCATCCAGATGACCATCTGGGACCACGCTAGAATACCCACTGGTGCCAGGCCAGCCACGGCGGGTGCAATGCGATTGGTCGGGGGCCCGGCCATCGCCCCATGATCGCCCCGCAGAGGGAGGCCCAGGCCACTGGCTGGCAGGGCAATCAATCGGGGGGCTCCATGATTGCCCCAAAGAGGGAGGCCCAGGCCACCAACCAGCAGGCTGCAGTGGTGGGCAGGGTCTCCCTCTGCGAGGGAAGCCCGGGTCCTGGGTGCAGGTGGCTGGAGGGAAGCCTGGGTCCTGGGTGCTGGAGGGAAGCTGATGCCGGCAGCCGGGGGAAGGAAGGCCCACTCTTGCATGAATTTCGTGCATCGAGCCTCTAGTAAGAATTATAAATAATAGAATATTTTAATTTAAAAAAACATCATGAATTACTAAGAATATAGATAAGTAATTTAAATTGAATCAAGAAAAATTAAAGCCAATTATAAAACTAAACAACACACAGGAAAGTCAAATAACATTTATTATTCAAAACAAATGAAAAGACTTCTTAGACACATTAATTGGATGTTAGAGCTTTGACCGATTAGATCAGTTCTTACCATCAAACCTGTCATATTTCAAATGACCACTGGCTTCTAACACAGGAGGGACACTGGATACAGTGTCTTCAGCTTCCCCATCACTTGCTAGTTCTTGCTTGAGTTTGGTGTCTAACCAGTCATTGACCAGCTCCTGAGCTATCAATGAAACAAAAACATCTTTTAATATTTCAGCTACTTCACAGACCTTTCTTCATTCAGTTTTCATTCATTCAGTAAATATTAATTGAGCACTGATCATGTGTCACATGCTATTCTAGAACAAAACAGGAAAAATAAAACCTACCAGACCATGAAGCTTACATTCTAACTGGGGAAGAGAGACTATAAACAAGTAAGTCAGAAAAACAGAGTCGGGGAAAGAGAAAAGGTGTTTAAGAAATGGAAGATAGATGTTGATATTTTTAAATTGGGTGGTGAAAGGAGGCCTCACTGAGAAGATAATTGAACAAAGAAGGAAAGCAAGTGAGGAAGTGAGCCACATGGCTATGAAAGGAAATATTATTCCACATAGAGGGAAAGCAAATGCAAAGGCCCTAGGACAGGAGAGCGTCTAGTGCAGGGTTGGGCAAACTTTTTGACTCGAGGGCCACAATGGGTTCTTAAACTGGACCGGAGGGCCGGAACAAAAGCATGGATGGAGTGTTTGTGTGAACTAATATAAATTCAAAGCAAACATCATTACATAAAAGGGTACGGTCTTTTTTTTTTTTAGTTTTATTCATTTCAAACGGGCCGGGGCTATAGTTTGCCCACGGCTGGTCTAGTGTGTTGGAGAAATAGTAAGTAGGCAGTGGCTGGGGAGGAGTGAGTGAAGGAGGTTGGAGGAAACTGTAATGTGGGGATCGTTTAGAGCAGTGGTTCTAGATTAGGGTGAAATCGTGCTCAGTGGACATCTGGCAACGTCTGCAGTCATTTTTGGTTGTCATACTGGGGGAGGTGACATTGGCATTTAGCGGGTAGGGACTAAGGATGCTGCTAAACATCCTACAATGTTTACAAGGTAGCAGCACCCACAACAAAAATTACCATAGTGCTGAGGTTGAAAACCCCTTCTTTAGACTCTTGACACCATTCTAGGTATTTTGGCTTTTACTCTGAATGCAATGGGAAGCCACAGGAGGGTTGTGAGCAGAGATCACTCGACTACGATGTTAAAATAGCCTATAAGGGGACACACACGGAAGCAGGGCACACCATCTGGGAGACAAATGCAATGGTCTAGGAGAGGGGTGATGGTGGCCTAGGAGTGGAGGTATTAAAAATGGCCATTATATCGGGACGAGGTGACCGAGTGGTTAAGGCGATGGACTGCTAAAAATGGCCATTATAAAAAATACTGTTTTGAGGTGAAGTTGACTTGACTTGCTGATGGACTGAATGTGAGATGTGAGAGAAAGAAATCTATGGGTTTTTGGCCTAAGCAATTGCAAGGATGGAGATACCACTTACTGAGCCAGGGAAGGCCCAGGGAGCAGCAGGTCTGGGGGGAAGATAAGTTCAGTTTTAAACTTGAGTTCAGTTTTGAGATGCTTATGAGACATCCAAATAGGGATGTCAAATAGGTATTGGCTACATGAATCTGTATTTCAGGGAAGAGGTCCAAGCTGAAGAAATAAATATGGTTGTTGTTAGCATACAATGGTACTTAAAGCTGTAGAAGTGGATGAGGTTGCCAAAGGAGGAAGGACTCACCCTGAGAAACTCCAGTATTAAGAGGCTGAAGAGAGAAGGCACCAGGAAACTAGGAAGGAGCGGTCATTGACACAGGAGAAAGACTATAAAAACTGAGTGGGATATCCTGGGAGTCAACTTCATTTGGATTCCTTTCTTAGTGGTAGCCAGAAAATCTTCTTAAATATATAGGTGAGAAAATGTCTACTTTAGCATTACCTTAATCATTATTATCATTATCGAACAGTTTTTATGGGTAGGGCAAGGGGGTTTCAAAGAAAAATGTCTACTTCAGCATTACCTTCATCATTATTAGCATTATCACACAGCTCTGAGGGAATGGAGTGTTTCTATATATTGAATGATGCTAAAAGATACTTAATATAGATAGGAATGTATGATATATAAAACAGGAAAAATGAATCAAGGTAGTAGAAACTAAGTGTAAAAAGTATACCAGCACCCTGGCTGGTATTGCTAAGTGATTAGTATGTCAGCCCATGCACTGAAGGGTTGCAGGTTCAATTCCTGGTCAAAGGCACATACTTAGGTTGCAGGTTCCATCCCCGGCCATGGTCAGTTGCATGTGGGAGGCAACCAATCCATGTGTCTCTCTCATATCAATGTTTCTCTCTCCATCTCCCTCCCTCCCTTCCACTGTCTCTAAAAATCAATGGAAATACATATCCTCAGGATTAACAACAACAACAAAAAGTATAATAGAAGCAAACATCGGCTTTCAGAGGAAGTCAGGGAAAGAGAGCAGATATTTGTTGAGTAACCTGTGTCGGATAATTCAGATATTTATATGTATAATAACTTACGTACAGAATAATTCAGATCTACTAAACACCTTTCATTGATAAAGAGGGGTTCACAGTATTCCCCCACCCCCTTATCCATGGGAGAAATGTTCTAAGACACCCAGTGGATGCCTGAAACAGTGGATAGTACCAAATCCTATGTGTAATGTTTTTCCTATACATACATACCTATCATAAAGTTTACTTTATAAATTAGGCACAATACGACATTAACAATAACTAATAATAGAACAGTTATAACAATGTACTGTGATAAAAAGTTATGTGGTCTCTTTTTCTCTCTCTCTCTCTTTCTCTCTCAAAATATCTTATTGTTCTACACTTACCTTTTCATTTAAAAGAAACACTTACGGCTTCTTTGGCATATCTGAATTGCCAGCATCACTACTCTTGCACTTTGGGGCCATTACTAAGTAAAATAAAGGTTACTTGAACATAAGCACTGTGATACCGTGATAATCTATCTGATAACCAGGACACCTACTAAGTGACTAATGGGTGGATAACGAATATGTAAATTAGCTTCTGGGCAGTAAAATAAGCAAAAATTAAAGACAAGAGAAAGAAAAGCTTTCTTCCCGAACTCTGAAATTCATTATAGGTTATGCTTTAATAAGTTGTACTCCAAAGAGTTGTTAATTTCACAACAAAAAATTGAATTATCTTACCTTCTGCATAGATTTCATCATGATCCTCTATTTGCTCAGATGTTTCCAAATCTATCATTTGGCCCCAAAGACTTCTGGATAAATCTGAATTTCCAGCTGAAAATGATTTTGAAATTCCAAATTCTGAGGCTTTCTCCACTCTCTTTAATGTAACAGAAAAAGAAATTCAATAGGATGACGACTTTGTTCAGAGTTAGAAAATTTCTTTCTAGTCCTCAAGAATCTGTTGTTTTTTTAACCAGCTAATAAAATAATTTCATTTTTCCATTTTTGAATGAACTGTGAGGCTTAAACATCTACCTCAAATACTTTCATTCAATAAACATGAAATTATAGTATTTTACCAAGTTTTAACAGGTGTTCACAATGTATACATTTGAACAAAATGTTATGTAAACTTTGGGTAACTTTTGTTTGCAGCGGTTCTCAACCTGTGGGTCGCGACCCCTTTGGGGGTCGAATGACCCTTTCACAGGGGTCACCTAAGACCATTGGAAAACACATATATAATTACATATTGTTTTTGTGATTAATCACTATGCTTTAATTATGTTCAATTTGTAACAATGAAATTGGGGGTCACCACAACATGAGGAACTGTATTAAAGGGTTGCGGCATTAAGAAGGTTGAGAACCACTGGTGTAGAGCATTAGTTATGGGACGCTGACACTTGAATATTTTAAAAATAAAAATATAATATTTTATTAGTTTCCATGCTATTAATATTTGCATATGAATGTGAGCTAGAGGCAGAGCAGCTATAAATTACTACTTCCTCAAATTACTACTCTGTAAGGAACCTGCCACCGTAGAGGCAAATTATAGATGCAACAAAATTGGGATACATGGTTACTGAACTTTAGTCTCCAGGATATTTTAACTCAACAGTAAGAATCTAGTAAAACGTTGGCCAAATTCAGGGGTTTGGGGAGGAATTGGCAGAGGTGGACAAACTTTCTTGGCACTTTGGCTTACCTGCACATTATAAATGAACTAACTTTACAATTAAACCCCTGTTTTTCCCCCTCCCTACAAACCAGCTTTTCTCCATGCCTGCTGTGTTCCCAGTCTTGTAACTTAGGTAGTGACAACTCCTTTCTTTCGGTTCCTAAAAAACCTAAAAAAGCTTTTGAATCTTCTCTCTCTCTCTCTCTCTCTCTCTCTCTCTCTCTCTCTCTCTCCAGATACAATATACCAGTAAATCTATTTTCAAAATGTATCCAGGATCTGACCCCTTCATGTCATCTCTACTGCTATTATCCTGAAAGGCACCACAATTTCCTGACAAGTTTTCTATAATAGTCTCCCACCAGAGAGATCTCTTCAAAATGAAAGGTATAACATGTTAGAACTCCACTCAAAACCATTAGTTTGAGTGCAGTTCATGTTAGAACTCCACGGGTCCCTATTTCATGCAACTCAGAATAAAAGTCTAAGTCCTTATAATGTGTGGTAAAGTCCTGCACCGCCAGGCCCTTTGTGAGTTCTCCAACCCTCCTCTGCTACTTTTCCCATTGCTCCCTCTACTTCAGCCACACTGACCTCCTTGTTCATTCCTCCTCAAATATGCAAGCATGTTCCCAGCTCAGGACCTTTATACTGAACTTCCCCACTCTGTTGACTGCTCTCCCCCAGATATTCATATGACTGGGCACAAGCACTAGAAGATACTAAGGATTAGAAATAATGTCTATATTTCCTTGTTTTAAAATATTATATCCTTACAATGTATTTTCAAAATAAACATATAAGAGACAGGAGAGGTCCATCTTAAATTATATTTTAATGAAATAAACATTGCGTCGATTGAACAACTTATTCTTTAAACTAGTTTATTGAATGGTAGCTCTGTTACCAGCTCTATAGTGAACATGAAGGGAAAAACAAAACTAAAATCTTCTGTTCTGAAAGAGTTCACTGTTTCTTGGTTTGTTTCATATAACATGTATGCAATAACTCAAAAACAATTCTAAAGCAATACAGGGTGATTAAACAAAACCGTAAATACCTTCCAAAGCTTATTACTATGTTATAGATAAGCATATAGTTTATAAAGGAAGTATCTCAGTTATTTCCATGATCTTAAACATTTTCAATACAGACATACCTTGGAGATATTGTGAATTTGATTCCAAACCACTAGTAATAAAGTGAGTGTTGCAATAAAGTCCCACAAATTGTGGGGTTTCCCTGTGCATATAAAAGTTATGTTTAGACCAGCCAGCGTGGCTCTGTGGTTGAGCATCCACCTATGAACCAGAAGGTGACAGTTCAATTGCCTGTCACCGCACTTGCACAGGTTGCGGCCTCAATCCCCAGTAGGGGGTGTGCAGGAAGCAGCCAATCAATGATTCTCATCATTGATGTTTCTATCCCTCTCTGCCTCTCCTTTCCTCTCTGAGATAAATAAAAACATATTTTTTAAAAAATTTATATTTATACTATACTGTAGTCTATTAAGTATGCAATAGTATTATGTCTAAAAAATACATTATTGCTAAAAAATGCTAACCATCACCTGAGCCTTCATCAAGTCATAATCCTTTTGCTGGTAAAGGGTCTTGCCTCAATGTTGATGAAATCGTACTAATTGTGAAGTGCAATAAAGAAGAGCACAAGAAAGTGAAGCATGCCTGTATGTGCTCCTGATATGCCATGGCACATTAATGCTATTGTCCATGCTGGACTCTTTGTAGAAAATCACCATCGATAGCAGAAACAGCAGCTACAAGGCACTCCTACATTTCCTCAAGGCTGGGAAGTACAAACATGAGTTTCTTGAATGTGCAAACTTCATGTTCATATATAATAGTTTTGGGAGTAATATATTTTCGAAAGTACCCACTTCTTTTTTAATCACTCTGTATACAAGCAAATGTGTGTATGAGTGTCAAAATAATTCCAAAGAAGAGTATGAGAAGAGGAGATTAGGTGGTTGAGGTGAGGGGGGAGTTGTTTACTGAGAGGGGCATCTCAAGCTGAGCTTTAAGGGAAGGATCTGAATTAGCCTCTCAAAGAGGAAGGGTATCCCAGGATGGGGATCAACATGAATCAAAGCAAAGAAAGTCTTATCTGATGGAGGGAAAGGAAATTAGCCTGACAGGGAGTCACACAGAGTATCAGTAAACGGGTTGTTAGAGGTAGACTGATAGAGGGCATTAAATGCCAGTCTTGATTTAGAGTTTCATCTGATGGCATGTAGAATCATGAAGGTTCAAGATTGAAGAACTGACACAATGAAAATGTTTGAAAAGCTCAAAGTAGCAGAATGTACTGGAGTAAGAAGATGAGTTAGTCTAACAAATCAGGATGAAGATGAATTGTAAATTGTAGTAGACAGTTGCATTTTGGGTGAGCTATCCCAAGACTTAATAGTTCTACCACACCTGTCTGATTCTAAGTGACTTCAACATCCCCCAGGAAGACCCACACACATTTCCCAGCCTCAAGGTTTGCCTTGATCGTCTGTATTCCAACAGCTTTCCCTTTCATTGCACTTCAGCAACCCATTGACTGGTCATCGTGAACCATGTCATACAGAATTTTCCATTGGTCAAACCACATGATGATAACCTCCTCTCCAACATCCACCTCCTATCCATGTCTCTCTCTCACTCCCCTACTCCGTAACATTGGTGTTGCATCTAAACAAGTCCTCCAGTCACCGTATGCCTCCTCTTTCCCTCAACCCATGAGTCCTTTAAAAGGTTCCCTTCTCTTCCTACTCTGTGTGAATATTCAGCTACTATCCTATATAATAAAACCTTAACATGTAAATCTACCAAATGGCAGAACAACCGGTAACCATGACATGCACTGACCACCAGGGGCCAGAGATGCTCCATGCAGGAGCTGCCCCCTGTTGGTCAGTGCACTCCCACAGGGTGAGCGCTGCTCAGTCAGAAGCCGGGCTCATGGCTGGTGAGCGCATTGGTGGTGGTGGGAGTCTTTCCTGCCTCCGCAGCAGCATGAGGACCCCTTGGGGGATGTCTGCCTGCTGGCTTAGGCCCACGGAGAGAGGGCGCAGGCTGGGCTGACGGAGCCCCCACCCCCAGTGCACAAATGTCATGCACTGGGCCTCTAGTGTGTGTGTGTGTGTGTGTGTGTGTGTGTGTGTGTGTGTGTATACACAATTTGGCTAATATGCTAAGTGTCCGATGATTCAACCATTCAACCGGTAGCTATGATGCGCACTGACCACCAGGGGCAGACACTCAACATACAGGCATGGAAACATGGAATAGACTGATGAATCTCAGAGGGAAGGGGGGAGGGGAAAGAGCGGGAAGAGATTAACCCAAGATTTTATATGCATACTAGAGGCCTGGTGCACGGATTCCTGCACTGGTGGGGTCCCTCGGCCTGGCCTGTGCCCTCTCACAATCTGGGACCCCTCAGGGGATGTCGGACTGCTGGTTTCGGCCTGATCCCTGCAGGCCAGGTTGAGGGACCCCACCGGTGCACAAATCCGTGCACCGGACCTCTATTCTTACAGAAGCCTCACATCTCTTGTTCCTTTGCCTTTCCACTGAGAACTTTCAGGACTGGATCAATCTGATCTATCAATTTTTGGTACCACAAAAAAAAAAAAAAATAGGATTACCTGCTTCAGTCAAGTCCCCAGTGCTGTAGTTACACTGACCTTCCTTTTCTGTTTTGAAGAAAGCCCTGGCTAAATCTTCACCATGCTCCACATCCTTTGCATATACTCCCCCCTTTTCCACATAACAAGGTCTTAGCTGTTTTTGAGAGTGTGGTCCACTCAAGTGGATTTGGAAGTCTTAGGTCCAGAGGTTATCACTGTTTAGGATATACCTACAGTTGTGATATACTAGGGAGCAAAATCAGAAAAGAAGATAAACAAGTTAACAGAGAGGTAGGAGAAGCAAGAGAAAACAGTGTTTAAAAAAGATAATGGAGGAGAAGATTTCTAGAATAATAAAGTGATAACCAGAGAAATGAACATTAAAAAGTTTGAGGACAAAGAAGAGACCATTAGATTTGGTCAGTAAGTCATTTATGACAATTTCTGTAGAGAGGTAAGAAATAGAAACCGGAGTAAAATAATTGTGGACACTAGAGGATAATAAAAATACAATGGCAAGAAGTCCAGGCTATCTATCCAAACAGGTTAGATTAAAAAACAAAACAAAACAAAACAAAAACAAGAAAGAAACTGTATGGCAATCAGAATGATGGAGGGGTCAAATGAGGACTCACTGGTTTTTTTTTTTCGAGATAGGAGATTTGAGGACATAATGGAAAAAGAGCTATTGCAGAAGTTTTAGAGGAATAATAAAATCTAACCAAATGAGGACTTACTGATTTTTTTCAAGACGGGCTATTTGAGGACATAATGGAAAAAGAGCCACTGCAGAAATTTTAGAGGAATGATAAATATCTAACCGAGTCAAGCTGGCTAACAACTACATGAAAGAGGAAAATGGCTCCACCGATATTAGCAACCCCTCACCACGTGCTTCCATTACACCTGTAATTCTCCCAACAGCTTTGTTTATCCCTCACTATATAGTGCACTTGCCCTGTGCACTATATTATTTCTAGTGCCCCAAAACAGAGGGCTAGCACTTAGTAGGCACTTAATAAATACTGGGTGGATGAATAAATGGTAAACAATGATATCTGGCCTAGGTTCCATTTGGCCTGATGCTCATAATGTCTATCAATTCAGATAAGTAATAACTCTTCAAAATACTACCAAGTAGAAGAATATTTTCCCAGGAAAAGCCGCATGATTTTAAACCATGTGATGCACAAATGAACTGAGTATGGCAAGTTGCCAAATTGATACTCAGAGGCATGCACTTCAAGTGGTTTAATGGTATTTTCAACTTAAATGGTAGTTGGACTAAAAAATATATACATTTCCGGTCTCAGAGGTTATCTAATCCAATGCCCCCACCCCCTCACTGAATCAAACATATTTTTCATTAGTCCTAATATTAAGTGACCATTTGGAATCCACTTGAAAACTCTTGTGATAGAAAACACTTATAAAAATGCCCACTCCATTTTTGGATTGCTCTAGTCAGTAGAAGATTCTTTTTTTTTTTTTAATATATTTTATTGTTTTTTCACAGAGAGGAAGGGAGAGAGACAGAGAGCTAGAAACATCGATGAGAGAGAAACATCGACCAGCTGCCTCCTGCACATCTCCCACTGGGGATGTGCCCGCAACCCAGGCACACGCCCTTGACCGGAATCGAACCCGGGACCCCTCAGTCCGCAGGCCGACGCTCTATCCACTGAGCCAAACCGGTTTCGGCGTAGAAGATTCTTAATTGTGATGCACACATAGCTTTTACCTAGTGCCTGGGTCCCGTAGGTTAATGTAACTACAGTAGTCTTTCCAATCACCTGAGGAAGGCCTCTCCTAAGGCTTCTCCTCTCCTCTCCTCTCCTTGCCTCAAGAGCTAAGGCAACATATATAGTCACATGGGAGCAAAAACAACATGTGCAAAATGGAGACCTATTTGTATTTCTTTTCCATCTGATTATGTCTGACTCTCAATTTTCTTTCTATCTTAATTTGTGCAATATCCTTACCTCAATCCAGTGTCCCACATTGCCAGAGTCAAAAGCAGGCTGTGGAGAATATATACAGAATATTAATACATAGCAATATCATTATCAACTTTGCCATTTTAATCTATCCTTCTGACTAAAGTACATGGAAGTGTCCTTTATTCTTTCCCCAAATTGTTTCATTAGAAACTTCAGCAACAAAAGCACTCAGAAGGATGATAGGAAGAAGAAACACGGAGCCTTCTCTGGGACATCTTCTGAATGTTTTTATCTCCTGCCGAGGCCCACCAGATTCTGATTCACTTGGTTTGGGGCAGGGCCCAGGAATGAGCATTTTTCAAGCTCTCCTGGGTTAAGGGCCAAGATAGAGGAATGCTAGGTATTATGTTGCTTATAAAAACCCAAACACTGATTGCCAGATTTATTCAAGTGTCACAGAAGCAAATCTGCTTAGAGAAGGGTCTACCCTTCTCCCTAGGCCAGTGATGGCGAACCTATGACACGCGTGTCAGAGGTGACACGCAAACTCATTTTTTTGGTTGATTTTTCTTTGTTAAATGGCATTTAAATATATAAAATAAATATCAAAAATATAAGTCTTTGTCTTACTATGGTTGCAAATATCAAAAAATTTCTATATGTGACACGGCACCAGAGTTAAGTTAGGGTTTTTCAAAATGCTGACACGCCGAGCTCAAAAGGTTCGCCATCACTGCCCTAGGCCCTCTTTTTCGGGAGTAGCCTGTAGCATGAGGCTTCCTTTTATTTTTTTCTTTAATCCTCACTGGAGGATATTTTTCCATTGATTTTTATGGAGATTGGAAGAGAGAGAGAAAGACAGAGAAAAATATTGACATGAGAGAAACACATTGATGGATTGCCTCTTGCATAGGCCCTGGGCTGGGAAGGAGCCTGCAACCCAGGTACGTGCCCTTGGCTGGAGTCGAACCCGGGACTCTTCAGTCCACAGGCTGACGCTCTATCCACTGAGCCAAACAGGCTAGGGCATGAGGCCTTCTTATCTTACATACAGTAGGGATATTGTTTGGTCCAATAAGAACTGGGGGAGGGAGGTACAGTGAGGGATAATCAATCTTCTACTGTTTTACAGAGCAGAAAATGAAGTAGAAATCACATAAATTTCTACCAAGGTCAGTTACATATTAATCAGACAAGTCATACACCTCCTTTTTTCACTCTCTGTAACATTCAAAAGCTTGGAGAATTCCCAATAGTCACTTAACGAATAGAGGTATTTGCTTTGCTAATAATTCAGGTGGATTTTTAAATAAATAAGGGAATATCTAAACACGGAGGAGGAAAAGATATAATACTTTCACTTACATAACAGTTCACCTTCAAAGTGCCTTACAGAGAACTTATTAATGCAGCTGTGCTGCTGAATAATTTTGTTACTGCAACAAAGAGCTGATTCTATTAAAACACAACTGAATTTTGAGGAGCTCTTGTGATTTTACCATTTCATCCTCTAGGCCAGCGGTTCTCAACCTGTGGGTCGCGACCCCTTTGGGGGTCAAATGACCCTTTCACAGGCATCGCCTAAGACCATCGGAAAACACATATATAATTACATATTGTTTTTGTGATTAATCACTATGCTTTAATTATGTTCAATTTGTAACAATGAAATTGGGGGTCACCACAACATGAGGAACTGTATTAAAGGGTCGCAGCATTAGGAAGGTTGAGAACCACTGCTCTAGGCAGTAACAATGAGCACTAGCAGCAAAAATCCTTCCTTAGGAGTCCTAAGAAATTGTCCCAAATTTTTACTTTTCATCATCAAATCTATATCCATAACCTTTTTTGGATCCAATGGAACTGGTACATTACAATAGACTCAGACTGTTTCCAACTCTCTGATGCCCCAATCTGCACCTCCAGTATCTGGGACAAGATACTCACCAAGTGAAATATATCCAGTGCGTTATTTAGCTGGTATATTTAGAACAAACTGTAAGCACAATTGCCTAGGGCCCTCAGAAAGGCCACATGTCTATAGATTAGATTTTTAAGAAAGTATAACTTAAGGGTGAAAACAGCTGGTGAAACTGCTCTGGGGCGGAAAGCTGAGAAGCCAGCTCCATTTTGGTACTCTCACCTACATTTAAGGCATTTATTTTTGTGGCTGTTAAAAAGGTAGTCTGTGCAAAGCACACCTCCTGTGACTGACTTTGCACATGCCATTTACATGTTTCAAGTCTAAAATGGGGTTAGTTTTCCATGGGATGCTAATTTATCAAAAGAGGGAACAAATACAAATAGGGTCTATTTTTAAAATGATGGTTGAATTTAGAAATTCAGAATCAAGTATTGATATATTCAGCATCCACTTGCATTTATGAATTCATTTTAGATATTTTGTAGATCAGGCCGAGAACTTAACGTGAAGATCTTCCCCTGCCAATAAAGACCAGTTCCCTGATTTGTAAAACATAAAAAATAAAAATGAATGTGCGGGAATTTCTCCAAAACTGTGGGGTGGTAGTAAGTAGGAGGCGAAAGAGGTCGTGAATTCTCTTCAACCGGACGAGCACTACCAGACTCTCCGGTTTGTAACAAGCAGAAAATGAAGTAGAAATCACATAAATTTCTACCAAGAAACAGTTCGTCATGATGCTGCCCACCAAAGCCGCAAGGTACCCAGACCCCAGAGTTCCTAGGGCCCCTTCACCAGGGCAACGCTGGCTCCAGGGCGGTCAAGGCAGGGGCGGGCCAGGTAAGGATGCTCTGGGTGGAAGAGGGAGGAAGCACAGGCGGGGACGCGGCTGGCCTGGGAGCCGGTCCCCGCGCCCCGTAACTCCCGATTGGGATGGATCACCTTGGGACTCAGCTTCCTTGTTAATTGTTTCCAGCGACTCAGCCCCGTCCTCTTCCTTGAGGAGGACCCTTCCTGGGGCGCCAGCAGCATTTTCCAGGTTCAGGCCGGGAGCTGTGCCGAAGCAGAAACACCCACTCCTCTGCCCACTCCGCCACCGCAGCTCCCTGGGAATTGTAGTTCCCCCGCCTGCAAGGACGGCAGGTGAGGGGCGCCGGCGAACCACCACTCCCAGGAGGCTTTGCGCAGGCGGAGCGCGTTAGCTCGGTTACCCGTGGCAACGGCAGCCGTCCGAGGTCTGGGCTTTCGCTCGAGTTCGCGAGGAGATTACTTTTGCCTTTTCCTGGCGCCCGGTGATGACGCAATGCTCCCTGATTGGCTCTGCATCCGAGGCGGTGATTCTGCAAGCGGGACACGTGGAAGCCAGCTGTGGGGAGGCTGAGGGGTCTCCAGACAAGAACAGTTGGGAGGTTTGCAGGTGAGTGCCCCCTCTCCCTGAGGGTGTGGGGACTACTACGGGTGATGAGTCGCGTCGCGCCCAGACACTTCCTGGTTGTGTTGCACTAACTGTTGAACTCCCCACCACGAATCCCCTTGCCTTCTCTGGGTCTCTCCTGGTGGCTTCCGTGTCCAGATTCTCCCAAACCGGCGAACTTTCACCGCATCTCTGAGTAAAAGGGACCTGCTTTCAACTGGCCTCTGCTGAAGGGTCAAGTTGTCAGCCGAAAGCTTCCCCCGGGCCGCCCAGGATGCTGGAGCGAGTGGGATGATCCCGCATTGCTGAGCCTAGAGCTCCGCGAGGCCTGGAGGTGGCTCCTGGAGTGTAGGTACATCCGTCCTTTTGGACAGAGCATGGATGTTTGCGTGGACAGTCCATTCTGGAGCGCAGGGGTGCATTAGGCAGGGTAGATGTTTAGAGCGGGAGCTTTGGACCAGCTACTTCGTGGCTGCATGACCTCAAGGGACTTGCTTAATAACTCTCGGCCCCTCGGCAAAATGGGGGCGATAGTACTGAAATCATTGGAGTCTGGTAACGATGGAAAGTCAGTGTATATGTATAGAACCCTTCCAGGAAACGTAAACTAAACTGGACTTGAGATTGGTGAAAACGAGATCAGGGAAGCCGTGCCCTCAACTTTGCAGTGGTCTTGGGACCCGCTCCGTCTTCAGGGCCCGTCAGAATGGCGATGGTTGATTAAATTGTGATACATAGGCCCTGGCTGGGTAGCTCAGGCGGGTAGTTACCAGTAAGTTGGTTAGAGCGTGGACCTGATACCCAAGGTTGCGGGTTCGATCCAGATAAGGGCACATACAAGAATCAACCAATGAATGTCTAAATAAGTGGGACAAATAAATGGAGCAAAATGGAATAGATGACTTTAAAATTATTTCTTAACATTGGCGTACACATTGGAGTAACATAAGTAAACATTGCATATGTGCATGGACAAGATTCAGGACTTCTAATGGGCTACCAGCCTATAAGAGTACAACCTCCACAGTCAGACTTCTATGATTTAAGTCCTGGCTCTGACACTTCCCAAATGGTGACTTTATTAGCCTCGGTTTACTCATATGTAAAATGATCAGTATTTCCCAAGCAGTGTGACTTTTCTCTACACATTGCAAGGCTGAGAGTGAGCCTTGGCTGCATAGCATTCTTTCTATGATTAGTCTTCACTTTCGTCCTTCCATTGGTTTGGATTTTATCAGGTCAGACAAAAATTCAGTAACTGAATTTAAATGGGGTTGATGTCATTAGATTGCTCAGGGACTTTTTCCCATTCCCCTGGATATATAAGAAAATCTCAGGCTGGAAGTAGTCCTAAACATGCTATAATTAATTTTTTTGTAGGTTATATTTGCAAAATGTTCAGCCTTTAAATGTCATGAAACTTCTTCTGAATTTAATGATCTTTTCTTATCAGGACCTGGAGAATCCCTCAGGATGAAGCTGAGTCTCACCAAGGTCGTTAATGGCTGTCGCCTAGGAAAAATAAAAAACCTGGGCAAAACAGGGGACCGCACAATGGACATTCCAGGCTGCCTTCTATACACCAAGACTGGCTCTGCCCCACACCTGACCCATCACACGCTGCATAGTATCCACGGGGTTCCTGCCATGGCTCAGCTTACACTGTCATCACTGTAAGTAGTGGACTCAACCGTTCCAGGTTTCAACTTTGGCAGCAGCTTAGTTACCTTAACTAAGGTACAGCAAAGCAAAAGACTTTCTTGCTTATATGTGTAAAATTTGTAGATTTTTTTAGAATGAAATCAGAAGAAATATATCAAATGTTATACATCATCTGGCCCTAATCTGGAAGGCACAGGTCAGACCTCCATGTTAAAGCTGCTTCACTTTTCCTCTGAACCCAAGGTTCCTCATTGCCACTGCTCCCAAGGGTGACAGGGTAGGGGCTGCCTTTATGCACCAACCTCAAAAGATTTCTCTGTCCCTGCACGTGTACTTGCATGTGCTACTTATGGAAACAGAGCTAATGGAGTTAGACCATTTTGTGTATTGTGCATATTGACCTTATCCTTAATTGAATAATCTGCTCTAGATGAAATGACTACAATATCCTATATAATAAAAGGCTAATATGCAAATTGTCCCCTCCACCGGGAGTTCCACCAGGGAGCAGGGCAGTTGCCCTCCCCCCCAACTGTCTGTGGCACCCCCCACCCCCACTCCCATAAGCCCCAATTGGGGCGGGCCTGCTGGACCCACCCCTGCACGAATTTGTGCACTGGGCCTCTAGTTGTGTTAATAATAAACTGATTTGGAATGGGACGGTGAAGAAGAAATCGAGATATTCTGGAGCAGTTGAACTTTGCCAGTTTCTCTTCTCACCGAACCACTTGCAGATTGAAAACCTTTACTCTGGCTAATGCATCTAGCCTGGTGAGTTGGGACTCTTGAGTAATGGTGTATTTGTTGTTCAAGACTACATTTACTGTCACATAGCATGTTTGGGTGAGAAGAGGACTTCAATTGTTGTATCGAGTGTCTGTGGAATGATTCATTATTATGTATTTTTCTGTTTTACTTACAGGGCAGAATATCACGAAGTCTTGACAGAATATAAGGAAGGAGTTGGAAAGTTTATAGGTAAAATTAATTAAGTTATTCATGTGTGCCTTATGATGTATTAATTTGGAGTTTGGAGGTGCTGTTTATTCTTTGATCTTTCATTCATACATTTGCTGGTTCATTAATTTAGTAAGCATTTATTGAGCATCTGAGAACCAGACATTGGGGATTTAAAGATGAATAGGGAACAATTATTGCCCTCATGGAACCCAGAACCTAGTTGGAATAAAAATAAACAGGTAATTCCAGTAGAGTGGTGACTACATTTGAAGATTAGGGATATGTACATGTATCATGAGAGCCAGAGGGAGAAGCACATAACCTGCTGTAGGGTACATGTGGAAGGAGGTCAGAGTAAAGAAAGAATTTTTGAGAGAGAAGTTGAGGGGCTCCTTAGCTGGATCAAGGAAGAGTTAGCCAGGCCAGGAGGGGGTGGTAGTAGACAGGTATGGGCAGATATTCCAGGCATAGAGCAAAGACCTAGAAGTGAGACACTGCATGGAATTTCCCTAAGATCCAAAGGAGTTTTGTTAGGTTTGGGCCTAAAACATAAGGCAGAGGACAAAGAGTTTATGTACTGCTACCTTCTGATATGTTAATGTTTTCTTTTGGTCCAGAACTAGGATTTTAAATGCAGGGGTATGTGTCCATTTATTTATAGGAAAAGCTTAGCAGTGATAGCTGGAGAATAAATTCTTCTGCAGACCATTTTTTCCTGAAGCTTTTTCCAATATCTAAGGCTCACTTAAGTGAATAAAAATCCTGTTTCCATTGGTTATTCAATAGTCTGCTTATGAGAGAAACTGCATGATGACTTGTCACAAGGCCCTATATTTCAGTAGAGGAATTTATGTAATATAGTTTTTCTTGATATGAGACCAGTTTTAATAACCAGCTTTAAAGTATACAAGTCTAAAATTAAGTGTGCCGGGGTCCAGCCCCAGCGGTCCAGGGGTTCCCAAAGGTGTGGATGGAGTCGGCGAAGAATGTTTTACACGGAGACAGCGTTCAGAACTCTCTAGCTTTCCTTAGTCTCCGTGGATCTTCCTGTGCCTGGCTGAGGCCACAGAGAGAGAGATATCCCAAGGCAAGCTGAGCCTTTATTTTATAGTGAGAGGTAAACAAGGTAGTGGTTTCTATAGTTACACAGTTCTTGTGAGTTTCACTTGTTTTGACCATAGTTACACTTCCTGCACTTCCCTCAGCCCATTAGCTTCCCAGATAAGATCTAGAGAGCCTCATAAGGTCAAGCCTAATTATGCTAAGAGGACTGTGCCCTCTAAACTGGGAATTGTTTATGACTTTGCCCACAGGTCAGTCCGAGGCTTAACCCTATATCAGCTCCCCACATAAGTGAAAATAGCTAATATAAGCTTTCTACAGATTATTGTAGCAGTTGAGATTGTGGAAAATGAGGTGAAGAACTGCAGAGATTTTTTTTTTAATTTGCTTTATTTTGGGGGTCTTTTTTCATTGAAATTCTATTTTTTTTCTTATAAAAATGCAGGGTAGCATATGAAATTTAAGCACATATGGTTTCCTAAACTTTTTTTGGATTTTTTTTTTAAAAACAACTTTTTTTTGACTAAAGAACCTAAGAAACTATCATCTTGAGTCAGTGAAACTTACTGAAAATGAGATTCATTTGCACTATCCTACAGCTTTTAATTCTGCCTCTAGGGGAGTGATTGCGAACCTATGACACGCGTGTCAGAGGTGACACGCAAACTCATTTTTTTGGTTGATTTTTCTTTGTTAAATGGCATTTAAATATATAAAATAAATATCAAAAATATAAATCTTTGTTTTACTATGGTTGCAAATATCAAAAAATTTCTATATGTGACACGGCACCAGAGTTAAGTTAGGGTTTTTCAAAATGCTGACACGCTGAGCTCAAAAGGTTCGCCATCACTTGTCTAGGGACTCATGATGTGGGATGGCTTTATCATTAATGAGATTATCTTTTGATTAGATCATTTCATCTTTCCAGGAGCTAGTTCCCCTTGCATAGTAACTACAGTGAACATAATTGATACTAAATTCGTCTTCAAAGCAAATCGAGTAGGGTCAACGTGTCATTAAACACTTTCATTGTATCTCATCCTTAAGATATACCCCCCCCCCCCAAAAAAAAAAAAAAAAAGATATACCTTCCCTTTGTAGCAATGCACTATGTCATTAGAAATGAACCTTTGCAGTTAATTCATTTAGATTAGCGGGTTTCAAAGTATTTTTCATTCATGTTGACAGGCCTCCTGTACTTCTAAGTGCATATATGAGCCATTTACTGGGCTCAGTGTTGCTTTATCTAGCAGTATACATCATGAAGCTGTTCTGGTATAACACAGTGTAATTGTTGATATAAGTGCTTTCAAGGGTTCTTGTTTATGTTTATACAGGCATGCCAGAATCGCTCTTGTACTGCTCCCTGCACGATCCAGTCAGCCCCTGCCCAGCTGGTTATGTAACAAACAAGGTATGTTCTCAGACATTCCTCCAAGGCTACAACTTTGTCCCAGGAAGTCTGCTTGGGATGTTGGCCCATTCCTGACCGCTTTTTGCCTTCTCTTTATTTTTATAAATATAGTAGGATGGGTGGTTTACAGGAGTTAAAGGAGATCTGCCTGAGGATAGAGTTAAGGTAAAGAATGTATCCTCAACTTTCTCATTGTTACAAAAATTTGGGGCTGGAAAAGGGTTAAGTACATTCCAAAAAAAGAAATTGCTATGATGGTAGAAAACAGTAGTCTTTTGATACCATGCTTTATTTGCAGTTTTAACAACCTCAGGAGGAGTGGGGAAAGTTGCTGATGAGTGTTATCACATGTCCAACTATATATAGTGGAACCTCAGTGTAATACTGCTTGTTTTTAGAACAGAATTTAAAAAAACTGGGTCCACTTTTTAGCTAGTGAAGAAGAATATCAAAAGGACTTCATTAAAAGTTTTCTCTTGAGACATGGCCCCATTGCATTGTCCTTGAGGACAGTGCTGTGGCAAGGTTTCAGTACAGTGTAGGCAGAAGGAGGTTCACAGTTGTGAGTATGTGAAACACAGTTTATTCTTGTATTATTACTTATCCTTATATATTTTTTCATACAAATAACTGCAAACCTCCTTTGCCTACCCCTGTATACACTACTTTACAAATGCAATTCCTTTCCCTGCACCCAATTTATTGATGTCAACAATATGTATTAATCTTACTAAGATTACTATTTTAAATTACTCTTCTGCTTTACACTTCTTTTTATTTTGTAATTTGTATTCAAAAGAAAATATTTTGATGTCAGTTATCTACCCTATTTATAAAGGAGAGAGGATTCATTTAAACATGCCAAAATAAAGACTGCGCGTCGCTTCCCCACCTATGTCCTTGTCAATCTTTTCAGAGAAGAGAGGAGCTGTAGGAGAAGTAACCAAAGGAACGTATAGAGCAGCGGTTCTCAACCTGTGGGTCGCAACCCCTTTGGAGGTCGAATGACCCTTTCACAGGGGTCGCCTAAGACCATCGGAAAACACATAAATAATTACATATTGTTTTTGTGATTAATCACTATGCTTTAATTATGTTCAATTTGTTACAATGAAAATACATCCTGCATATTGGATATTTACATTACAATTCATAACAGTAGCAAAATTACAGTTATGAAGTAGCAACGAAAATAATTTTATGGTTGGGGGTCACCACAACATGAGGAACTGTATTAAAGGGTTGCGGCATTAGGAAGGTTGAGAACCACTGATACAGAGGTTCTCGTGTACTGTGGGATTTATGTCTTAGCACATAATTCTGTATGTAACTCAACTTGGTAATTGCTTAATGATGTGTAAGGCCCTAGACTGTGCTTTTGGGGCACAACATGAATTGGGATACTCTAGTCAAATATACAATGGTGTGCTAAGGGCTATCATTTCTATAAAAGAAGTAAGCACACATTTCTGAAAGAACGTGGGTGAGGCAATTGATCATGCCAGGGAAGTTTGGGGAACACATTAGAGTAGGTGATATTTGAACTCTGTCTTGAAGGGTACCGGGCAAAGGAGTAGGGGAAGGGTACTTCAGTCAAAAGGAGTGATGTGATTAAAGACAGAAGAATCAAAGTCTGCGGTGTATTCAGGAACAGCATGGGTAGAGTGGGGTGGGCGAGACTGGAAGACTGGGCTTCTAGGAAAGTGTAACAGAATTCTTGGGAGCAAGCTCAGACGTTGGCTTGTATGGCCCTTGAAGGATTCTCTGTGAGCAACAAGGTTCTTAGAGAATTTGGAGTTTAGTATAGGAACCCTCTTACTCACATGTCTAGGATGTTGAATTGCTACATCTCTAGTTGTAAAGAAGAATTAAATTCAGAATTGCTTTAGCATTCTGTTATTTGCATTTCACTCTTGCTAATTCCCCATCGTCTTGTTCATTGGCAGTCTGTGTCTGTGTGGGGTGTTGGAGGACGAGTGGAAATGACAGCTTCCAAGTTCATGGCAATCCAGCAGGCCCTTCAGCCAGACTGGTTCCAGTGCCTCTCAGATGGAGAAGCATCTTGTGCGGAAGCAAGTTCCATAAAAAGAGCCAGGAAGTCTGTTGACCGATCGCTGCTGTTCCTGGATCATTGTCTGCGGCTGCAGGAAGAGTCAGAGGTAAAGCTGTGCATCTCACTGCTCCTCTTTCTTGGAAACTCTTGCTAATTGCCATTGCATGACACTGCCTCTTCTGTTCTTCCTACTTCTCTGCTCCTTGCTTCTTGTCTCTTGTATGCTCTCCTTCTCTTTTTTTCCTGACCCATTAATTATAATTGCTCTCTAGGATTCTGTCTAAGGTTCTCTTTACATCCCACTGTATGTGTTCTCATTAGGCAGTCTCCCTTTAGTTTTTTTTTTTTATTGCTGATAGTTCTAAAATACTAGGTACAATCAAGATCACATTGCTTAGCTTCAGGATCGCATAACTACAGGGCTTATCTGGGCTCTATTTCTAGAATATTCCTCATGTACATCTTAAACTCAGAGAAGAAACTCCGTATCTTTTCTCTTCAAACCTCTTCTTCCTTTTGCTCTCTATCAATGCTCTGCTTCAGTTTTTGGCAGCCACCAAGTTTCTCAACACAGAAAGTTGAGTCTTTCAAGACTCCTTTCAATATCCTATTTAATCTCCAATATTCACTCCCCTTTGATACCATCTCCCTAAATATACCTAGAATCTGCCCCCTCACCGCCCTTATCACCATCTTAAGGCCTCATAACTTCAGATTTTCTTATGTAAATAATTATTTAATTGTTATTTCTGCCTCTGTTCTCCATTCCACCCAATCCATCTTCAGCCCTGCCGTCCAGGAGATCTTCGTAAAGCACAAACATGAACCGGTTGTCCACTTTCCTAAAAGAATTTGAGGTTCTCCACTTCAGCTCTTACATGGCGTGAACAGCCTGCAGACCCGGCCTCTGCCTGTTTCTCCACCCAGTGTGGCCTACTTTCTCTGTGGCTGGCACTTGCAGTTCCCTGAGGCATTTCCTGTTTCAGGGCACTGTGCCTGCATGCAGACTTCCTTCTGGTCTGCTGCTTTTTTCTTATTCTCAGCCATATTTCTCTTGCTTCCAGCTCCGGCTCATTTATTCCATTGTTTTCATTCGAGGAAACTGCCCCTGACCCTCCCAGGAAGTTCTTTTCACTCTTTGCCACTCCTTTCATTTGGATGTAGCTATATTATAGCCCCAATCATATTGTACTGCAATGATTTATGTGTTTGTCTTTATTAATTTTGACCTCCTTAAGCTCAATTTCTGTGTGTTATTTTTGTATCTTCATCAGGTAGCAAAATTCCTTACACCCTCCGTAAATACTGATGGTGAATGGTTATGATGGCTGGGGAAGGAGCTGTAGCTGTAAATAAGGGCTCCCGATAGCAGAGTTGGTAGTGACGTTGGAAAAGGACGCGTTCACTAGGAGAACGCAGAGGAGGTAGGAGTTCAGGAGATAGTGACCAGAGGGGAGAATCAGGGTCTGATGATTTAGGTGGTCGTCCTGAGCACCGATCAGTTCCCACTGTGGCAGGTGCTTCCGTTGGAGGAACATTGTCATTTTGAGTTTACCCATAAAAATGTAATTTGACTAATATAGTTAGTATACACGAAATAATGAGAGGAAACTTAGTTGTCATTCAGAATAGAACTCTCAGTATCTGCAATAGGAGTTCAGCCTGGGACACTGCTGTGAGTCTGAATTGCTAGTGTTGCTCACTAGCCATTGTTTTGAGCCAGTAATTATCCTTGTAAATGAGTAATGTTTGATGAGTAAAAAGGACAGAGTATGACAGGATATGGTTATTAGAAAGGCCAGATGCGCCTCAAGTCTTTCTTCTATGTTATACTCAGCCTCACCATTTCACACTATTTTCGTGTGTCGGTCAAATGCTGGGATTCCTCTCTACCCCTTATGTTTATGCTATTGTCTTGATATGATTATTAATAGTGCCTCCTATACTCTTTAATGTGTTCCATTTTATTTTTTAATTTTTATTTTTTAAAAAATATATTTTATTGATTTTTTTACAGAGAGGAAGGGAGAGGGATAGAGAGTTAGAAACATCGATGAGAGAGAAACATGGATCAGCTGCCTTCTGCACACCCCCTACTGGGGATATGGCCGCAACCAAGGTACATGCCCTTGACCGGAATCGAACCTGGGACCCTTCAGTCCGCAGGCCGACGCTCTATCCACTGAGCCAAACTGGTCAGGGCAAATGTGTTCCATTTTAGACAATAACTATATGTGACCCTGCTTCTTATACCCATGAAAGGGAATTTCTCAGATAGGGCTGTGTCAGTCACACAAAGGAGCAAGCCTGTGTAACTCTGCTTTGTATGTCTGCATACATCTTTTCCTTTTCCAATGATTCCTTCCCCGCTTATTCACTGGATCCTCTTATTCTGAGTGCCCTAAGTGTTGAGGCTCCCCAAGTTCTGTTGTTGGACTTCTTTTCTTCTTTATACATTCCCTAGGCCGTAGATGGCGAACAGGTTTCATCCCAAGGTGCTTGGAGCTGTGCCTGGTACGAGCAGGAAGAGAGTGGTCTGTTAGGCATGTCTGCCGTGGAAGCAGGAGTCGGGAGTGGCTGCCCAGTGCCAAGGGACTACCGTTCTAGCCTGGGCACTCACATTTGTGTATCTCACATGTCCATAATCAGGCCTCTGCTGTGGCTAAATGTGTATGTTCCACTGATACCTCAAACTCAGAATACACAAAACAGGATGTTCATCTTGTCTCAGCCTCACTATTTTTTAAAAAAAATATATTTTATTGATTTTTTACAGAGAGGAAGGGAGAGGGATAGAGAGTTAGAAACATCGATGAGAGAAACATCGATCAGCTGCCTCCTGCACACCCCCTAACTGGGGATGTGCCCGCAACCAAGGTACATGCCCTTGACCGGAATCGAATCTGGGACCCTTCAGTCTGCAGGCCGACGCTCTATCCACTGAGCCAAACTGGTTAGGGCTCACTATTTTTTTTTTTTAGGATTATCTGTCTGCTCTTCTCAGCATCTCCCTGGACTTCCAAAAAGGAGCCAGGAGTCATTCTAGAGCAGTGATGGCGAACCTTTTGGCTCGGCGTGTCAGCATTTTGAAAAACCCTAACTTAACTCTGGTGCCGTGTCACATATAGAAATTTTTTGATATTTGCAACCATAGTAAAACAAAGATTTATATTTTTGATATTTATTTTATATATTTAAATGCCATTTAACAAAGAAAAATCAACCAAAAAAATGAGTTCGCGTGTCACCTCTGACACGCATGTCATAGGTTCGCCATCACTGTCCTAAAGTCTAGGACCTAGAGTAGACTGTCCTCATCCTCTTCTTGGACAACTAATCAGTTGTTGATTGTACCACCTGATGAGGTTTCAGATCCACCTCTCTTCACCCCACTGGCACTGCCTTAGTCCAGGTCCTCTTGGACTTTCACCTGGATTATTACGTTGGCTCCTGCCGCATCCTTTAGCCATACTCCCTCTTAATTCACTCGCCACACAATATCCAAAGTGTTCTTTCTGGAGGAAGAGTGTGATGATGCCCCTCCTGTTTAAGAAGCAAAATTCCCTCTTCACAGCCTCCCAGGCTCCCTCCCCACCCCTCTGTTCTACCAGAAAGCCACTGTTGACTTGTGTATTTCCTTGCAAAGCTTATATTTATAGTTACATACACATAATTATTACATATATATGTGGTTTTTATAACATGAATACAATCATATGTTCAGAAATTTCCTTGTTCCTTGCTTAACAATATCTTGAAACTCTTTCCTCGTGAATATATTTGTTGTAGAAATTTGTAGAAGTGAAATTTTAGGATATAAAGATGAAACCACAGACATTGTGATACGTGTTGTGTACATGCCCTCCCACAAGGCTGGACTAATTTTTATTTTCTAGTTTTCGGGGTATGTAAGTACATTTTTCACTTTCACTTTCACTGTGTTGTTATCTTTGAGCTTTTTTGTCAGTGTGATGGGCAAAAATGGTATCTAATTGTTTCCAATTTGCATTTCCTCACTGTGAGGTTTAGTAAGCTCTCCATATGTGTACAGGGCATTTACATTTCTTTTTCGGAAGTTCATATTTACATATCTGTCTAGATTTCAATAGGGTTGTCATTTCCTTAGAGGATTTTTGGAGCTTTTTCTGTGGTGTAGATGTTTACCTATTCTTCCAAAGAGTAAGTTTTCCTTTGCCCTTGTTGATAGTATATTTTACTAGAGAAGGTTAGTGTTTTTGTACTGAAATATGTCAGCCTTTTACTGTAAGCTTTAGGTTGCTTAGGAAGGCCTTCCTTAGACCAAGATTAAAAAAATATTTAATATATTCTTCTAATACTTGCATAACTATATTTTTTTATGTTTAGTTTTACTTTTAAGGATGGTGTGCAGTAGGATTTTTTTTGTTTTGTTTTTGTTTTCCAAATGTATAGTCCATTGTCCCAACCAAATAGTTTAGAAGTTCCTAAAGTTGACCCTAATTAATAATGACGTGGCGGGGACCTCAAGCAGGCCTGGATAGTCATTTAAACAAATTGAAACCATCCCTTTGTCTTTTTCCTCTTGTACCTGCTCAGCATGCATTTAATTTAATCTAAGCTAAAGCATGGCTGCGTTTGCCGATTGCTTCAGTTTCTCCACACAGTCTTTTCATACTTGGGTGGCTTTCAAATTGTGCCCTTCGGAGCAGAGACAGCACCATTCCCTGCGTGCTTCCCACTGAGATCTTGTCTGTCCATTGGGCTTCTTTGTAAGGTGCATTTAGATTTTAGACAAAGGTCTCCACTCCTGGAAACGGTTACAATTGTTCAGTCCTTTTTTACCTTAGGTCCTTCAGAAAAGTACGATCATTGGAGTGATTGAAGGTGGAGATGTGATGGAGGAGAGGCTGAGGTCAGCACGAGAGACAGCCAAGCGGCCTGTAGGTGGCTTCCTTCTGGATGGCTTTCAAGGGAACCCGACAACTCTGGACGCTAGACTGGACTTGCTGTCGTCAGTTACCGCGGAGCTGCCGGAAGACAAACCGAGGCCAGTGCTGAGTGAGGATGCTGGCTGAGTTTCATGGGCGGCAGAACAGGAGTGCTGGGGGTTGAGTATTGTGCAGTCTATACATGGGCGTGTCTTTCGATGTTTTTTAAAAAAATATATTTTATTGATTATACAGAGAGGAAGGGAGAGGGTAGAGAGTTAGAAACATCGATCAGCTGCCTCCTGCACACTCCCTACTGGGGATGTGCCCGCAACCAAGGTACATGCCCTTGACCGGAATAGAACCTGGGACCCTTCAGTCCGCATGCTGCCAGTTAGGGCTCTTTCAATGTTTTGATGATGTCCTTTCTGGGCTGAGGCTGACCACAGGGGGAATTTCCATCGAGGCTGTCCTGTGGTTGGTTCAGGATGTAGACCAGAGGACAGTTGCCATATGAATGATTTATTTGATGCTCATTCTAAGTGAGGACAAGTGTCATACTGTTTCTCCTCATTCTTGTGCTAAATGCAAGCACTGTTCCTGTGCATTAGAACATGGTTTCCAGGGACAGGTATAAGCTGTGGGGACTCTGGCCTTCCTCAGGGAGAGCTGAGGATGAATCTGTGCTGCCTAGCAGAATGAAGATGGGCACTACTAATAAGAACTTCGTAGATTTGAGGCAGTGGTATCATATTTTGAAATTGAGGGGGCCGGCAACACTATGGTTCTTTCCATAAATCCCAGGTTTTACTGTGTGCTGGTGAGAAGGGATGATCTACATGATTCAAAGCTAAAAGTCCCGAGTTTCTGAGTGCAGCTGATGTCTTATTAGACTACCCCCAATTTTGTGTTTTTAAAGAATAGTCTTTTTCCCACTTGGTGTGAATATTTATGCTCTTTCCTATAGATATCACAAGAGGTCTGATTTTGACGTGCTGCTTTATACCCCTCGGGCTGTTGGCTAGTATCTAACATGCAATTTTACTACTTTTTAAAAACAGTTATAACTTTCAGTAAAGTGTGTGAATCTTATGTAGAGCTTGATGACTTTTTATACACACACACACTTGTGTAAACACCAGCCAGAATGATATCTTTTCATTACCCCAGGCAGCATTTGCCCCGATTTTAACCCCATTGTCTGTTCATTGCTCCCTCTCCTAGTCCATTCCGGTACAGACTACAGTTTAGCGTTAGTATTTCTAGTCTTTTTCTGGACTTCTCTGAGTTAAGTGCTCACAGATGTCTGTTACTGGATTTGAAAGCTGGGATTGTTTTTCTTTCTATAAGTGTGTAGAAACTCCAGCTTCGGTTGGAGAGGATGTCTAAGACATTACGTTACTTGAGGGAAACTGTAGTCAGAAAAAACAGAGTATATTTAAGGGTTCTGGTTGTTTAATATTACATAAGCCTTTTTTGGACTTCTTTTAGAAATCAGAGAGTCTGTAAGCTTTTCTCTGCCAGTTCATAAAAGGAACTATGGGTAGAAAAACAAACATAAAAAACAGCAGCCAACCAGCCCTGATCTAGCATCTTCCAGTGTTGTTTTAGTGGTAAAACCTTGGTTGAGTATTAATATTCTCAGAATGCCTTGCCCATACCTCTAAAATTACCACCTCATCCCTCCATGCAGACATTTTACTCATGGTGAAAATATAAAGAAGCATAAATAAGGCCAACTAGATTCCTAGATTCTATGGGCATAGTTGAAATTCTGAGAGCAAGAGTTGCTTTGTAAATGATAAAAATGCCTTTCTGGAACCAATTATAAAAATGAATTATAGGCAACATACAGTTAAAACATAGAAGTATTTGAGGGGGAACTAAAGCACACAGCTTTGCACTCTTAAAAAAAATCCATGTGGATAGGTAGGCTATAAAAGTTCAGTCTAAGACGAGGGAGGTTGTTCAGCACAGATGAGAGGAGGAAGAAAACTAACCTTTACACTGTGCTTTTTCAAATATCTCATTAGTTCTCCCAACAATTCTGTGAGGTATTTATTAATGCTCTTATCTGTAATAATAAAAGGGTAATATGCTAATTAGACCTGATGTCCTTCAGGACAAAACCGGGGCGGAGGGAAGCCGGTGCCGGCAGCCAGGGGAAGGAAGGCCTACTCTTGTATGAATTTCGTGCATCGGACCTCTAGTTTTTAAAATGAGAAAACAAAAACTCAGAGAGGTTAAGAAACTTTCCCAAAGAACACAGCAAGTAAATTAATAGCAGAGCTCTCTAGCCCAGCTCTGTCTGCCTCCCAAGTAAAGGTTCTTTCCACCACATCTTATTATTTGCTGCCTGCCATGCTAACTATGACTGATGGTTTTCATTATTATTGTAATGCCCTCGTTGAGTCCTGGCATTGTCCTCATGTCAGTGTTCTTATTTTCACAGGCTCATCTGTGGCGTTAGCCTGCCAGATGAGGTGCTGGAGTGTATTGAAAGAGGAGTGGACTTATTTGAGAGTTTTTTCCCTTATCAAGTGACAGAGCGGGGAGGTGCCCTGACTTTCAGCTTTGATTACCAGCCGAATCCTGAGCAGACATGTAGGTCTTTTGAAGTTCATCTCAGTGTTATCCTTAACTTTCTTCTGTTTCCTATCAGTTTTGGCTTGTGATGCCAGCCAGAAATATGTGCATATTATAAAGCCAGCCTTTTATAAAACTTCATCTTTGTTTCTTATCTGTATGCTCTGGCATGTTGGTCCACACAACCCAGGTACTTAATACTATACACATAGCTCATCAATATTAGCAGGTAATTTTGGAGTTAGCAGAAGCAAAAAAAACCCACAACACACACACAAAACTTCTTCTATTAACAGCCTGAAAAAGACCATTCAGAGTGAATAGTGATGAAAATCTAAGAAAAGAAAACCTTGAACTGCTTGGTAAAAGTTAATTTGTTTTTTCACAAAAGAGTTCTTGTCTGCTTTTTGCAAATCCTTTGCTATTAAAATACAGGGAGTCTCACCCCCCTGATCCTAGCGTTACTTTTGCTTTTTTGTCTTTGTGTGCACACTGAGATGTGAAAGCTGTTTTCTGCTGCGATTATTGCTTTGAACACTGCCATTTTATTTTATTGTTTAGTTATTCAGAAGTCAAGAAAATCAGTTTCGGATTCTGCCATTTAACTGGCAGTAGTAAAGGAACCGGGATGCTGACTTTGGGCCGGGTCCCTTGAAGCACCTGCCCGGTTTTTCCTGAGAATGTTGCCTGCCCAGTGTTCCCTCGTGCCTCCCTAGGTGTGCGGTCCTTTCCCGTCCTGCTGTCCTTTGAACTCGTCCTCTGTCACCGCCAACCTTAAATTTGACTGGGGCTAGAGACTTCATTTAAAGGTCCATTTTATTCCCCATAAGTTATCAAAATTTCATTCAGAAGATGTTACACTTTTATAGAGCAACTTAAGCATTAATCTAATTGGAATTACTCGGAAAACAAAATAAATCAGGTTGGCCAAATTCTTATATATATAGGAAGTCAATTTTACTGTCTTTTAGACCAGAATATAATGTATGTGGGTAGGTGTACCATAAACACTTTATAAATGTTCATGACTTTATTTACAAGCTTAATTATTTCCACAAGGACATAGGTAGCTATTAGTCATTCCGTACCATGTATATGCAAAATTGAAAAAGAACCTGATATTGTTCCTCTTTGGCCAGAGAAAGCTTTTTATTTATGATTAGGAAAATTGAAATCGTTTGAACATTCTTATTAAAGTATTATTAATCACACTTGTGTGTATAGTAATTTATAGTCCTTTGCCAATTACAAAGTGAAAATTACAAAGGAATAAGTTGTCTAATGTAGACAGCAATTCCCTCGGTGAGAAGGATTTCCCAAAAGCCAGGCTTTTATGGGTTCCCATGTCACCACGCAAATTCATGGCAGCAAAGTATAGCCCTGGGCTCAGTGCTCGGGTCGCATCCTCTTTTTCCTTTAACTTGGACCAGATTACCTTCCTAGGACCATCTGCCCATTCTCCTTGGGCCAACCCTGAGATTGTTATTACTTGTTCCTAGAAATACTCATCTACTTGTCCCTGTTAAGGCAGCTGGCTCTGTGGTTGGGAACTGGTGCTTCTCTTGTAAACCAGGAATGTTTTTTTCTTTTTTTTTGACTGGAATAACCATTTGTTTTTGGGTTTTTTGTTTGTTTGTTTGTTTTTATTGATTAACTTATTACATATGTATCCTTATCCCCATGTTACAGGAATGTTTTTTTCTTAAAGCAAAGAGTTCAGGGGAATAACTCAAGTCCCCATGTAATTCTGGATAATCTGCGTTCCCTGGAGGACTGGAGTCTCCATACAGAGTACACAAATTTAAACCAAATTCTATTTTCAATCTATTTGGAATATAGGCAGTTATAAAGCCCAATTAGTTTGCATGTGCATTAAGATATGACATAACTTCAACACACACATTTATTCACATAAACACAGTAACTAGTTTTTAAAAATCATTTCTTGACAGTAAGATTATATTATGTACTTATAACCATAATTTGTTTAGATATTGTTGAATCTCCAAATTTTGATATTATAGATTTATAGATAATGGGTCTGTGATCATCTTATACATATTGCTATTTTTCTTTTTAAATATATTTTTATTGCTTTCAGAGAGGAAGGGGGAGAGAGGGAGAGAGAGACAGAAACATCAATGATGAGAGGGACATTGATTGGTTACCTCCTGCATGCACCTCAACCAGGGCCAGGAATCAAGCCTGCAACCAAGGTATATACCCTGACCGGAATTGAACCCAGGACTCTCCAGTCCGCAGGCTGACACTCTATCCACTGAGCCAAACCGGCTAGGGCCATATTGCTATTTTTCTTATGTCATTTCCTTGAGATAGGATTCAGGAGTGGAATTACAGAGTCTAAGGGCATGAAATAGCAACTAAAATAAGATACTCCCAAAGGCCACTCTTTATCTGACTTTCATTCAAGACTTTTTGTTGGTTTCTCCTTCAGTATTACAACAAAATGGGACTCAGGAAGAAAAACAATATGTGGATCAGTCAAAGAAAATGAAAACAGCCAGTGGCAACCAAGAAATGACATCATTTGAAATTAATCTGAAGGAAAAAAAGTAAGGATTTTTTTTTTTTTTTTTTTAGTTTAGATATTGATTTCTTTTAAATTTCAATCTGTTTTAAAAGTTTACATTACTGTTCCCTTTTCAGTTTGTGACTTTATAAAATATTTATAGTTGGGTATTACTTAGGCCTTCTCAAATTGAGTTTCAGAAAGTCCTTTTTCTGCAGAGGAAGTTGTGTACTTTGTCTTATCAGAAAACTGAGCCTAGTTAACTATTGTTTAAGAAGAGCTGTCATAAAGGTTAGACCAAACCCATTGTTTGCTGTTTTTTACTACTTCCAATTACTTTAAATAATGACAGAACAAAATAGGGATTTCAAGATAAAATACAACATTTTTTAAAATTTTAAGGAACTTACTATAGTAATGCCTATCTAGTAATAGTACAGATTTGAAAGTTTATGAAAGAATATGAAAATCCTAGTTTTCATCTATTCTCTAGGGGCTTCTTGATTGTAGGTGTGAAATAATGTTTACCACATTTAACGTCTTAAAAAATAGCCAAGGAGTTCCATTTCTATTTTTTAAATGTTACGGTAATATGAATGGTTACCACTAAAGTTCTCTGTATGTTATAGATTTAGCTGGAAATGGGAGTTTTCTTATATCATCGCTAGATTGGAAGTTACAGAGACTTGGGAGTTGGGATCCCAGCACTGCTCGTGCCTGTGTGACACTGGCCAGGTCATTTGACTGCGTTTTAATAGCTGATAAAAGGTAGCACATATCGTGCTTAGTGTGTGCTCAGCAGTGTCCAAGCCTTTTCCTATATTCACTCATTTAATCCGGGGAACAGCTCTGTAAGGTGGGCACTGTTACCATTATAGATGAGGAAACAAAAACAGGGAGGTTAAGTGACTTGCCCAAGTAAGCTCTGATCCAGGAATCAAACCCAGGCAGTGTAGCTTCAGAGCCCTCCTCATAGCCCCCTTAGTGGTCCTCATCAGTAAAATGACAACAAAAATGCCTGTCTCCAAGGGTGGTTGATGAGATTAAAGAGATAGTATATAAAAAAGTGGTTTGTAAACTGCAAAACGCTATGCAAGTTAAAGGTTGGACCGTGTCTTCTGATACTAGTTCTGGTGGCCAAAGGAGAAATGTGCATTCATCAGAACAGCGTTCCTGTTATTACAGTGTGACTGACAGTGCTCAGCCTGAGGGAGCGAGCACAGGACTCTCTTTGCTGCTCCCTTGTAAGCCTCAGGCTAGAGGTTATATCCAGCTGAGGAGGACTGCCGAGTCCCTGGCTCATTGTGTTCTGCTGACTGGGGCCACAGTGCCCTCTTAAGCAGGTGCGCAGCAGTACATTTGGCAGTGATGCTATTAACCATATTCGTTACGCACCAGCAGAATAGGCAGCCTAGGTTGTGGAGTTCGAATATTCCTCACTTTCTGGAATGTCATTCTAACTTCCTTTCTCAGGTACCGGGAGGACTTTGACCCATTGGTGAGAGGGTGTTCCTGTTACTGCTGTAAGAACCACACTCGTGCTTACATTCATCACCTGCTGGTGACCAATGAACTGTTGGCCGGAGTCCTGCTTATGATACACAACTTTGAACACTACTTTGGATTTTTCCACTCTATCCGGGAAGCACTAAAGAGTGACAGGCTGGCACAGCTGAAGGAGCTCATTCGCAGGCAAGCATCTTGAGCCTGGCATACAGGTCTGACTTCACATTGAGCCAGTGCCACTGTTGTTACGTGGGAAGCAGAGAACAAGAAATGATCTTAGCTTTCATCATTTATATTTGAGAAAACGATCTGCTCAGATAAGGAACGTCTGTACCAAACTCTGCCCACAGGAGGCTAAAGAGCTTTTTTCTAAAGACTTAAGTGACCTGGATTGATCAGAAAGAATTGAACCATGACCTTTAATATTTCTGTGCTAACTCTTTTAGTCAGTAGAGATTTGTTTAGTCAAAAGCGTTAGATGTGAAGAGACAGCCTTGAAGTGGCAGTGATGAGATTCTGAGGATACACTGAGTTGCATTGGAGCTTGAAGGGAGATGATTGGTCATGAGCAGCATGGCCTTGTGGCCTCATGCCTATTGACTGGAGAAGGAATCTGCTTCATTCAGGCGTTTTCTTTAATTCCATGTGCTCAGGGGCCTCTTTTGGGTACTTCTGCCTTCCAAGCTGCTCCAGCAGTATAGTCAGTCAGCAGTGGCTCTTTCGATTTAACCAGGTGCACATCTCCATGGAACGTGGGGCTCACACATTGCTCCTCTGACTGATTGCTCCAATGCACACTCCTTCATTTGGCTACATGGTCTATTTCCGACTTGTCTCCCTAGAGCTAACTGGAAGCTTCCCTAGCTGCGTCTGGTTGTGCAGGTCCACTATAGTCTGCCCTTTAGGTTCAATAATAGTCTGACCACATAATAACTGTAGCCTCATCACTGGGGAGATTCCTCCACCATATGTTCACTTGGATAGAGCTTTGGACTGGCAGTTAGAGGATTGGGGTTCAGTGCTACCCACCTACCTCTTCATACCTGTTTCCTCCTGAATAATTGGGGACAGGCATGTGGATAGGACTAAATGAACTTCTGAGATTCCATCTAACTCTAATATTTGGGAAACAAATAGTTTTAGATCAGAGTCATAGCCTTACTTATAGTTCTTGCTTATTGATCATTGGCCTGATGAAAATGCAGCGGAGCCAGGAGTCAGGCAATACTAGAGACATTTCAGAGTCTAAAAAGAGGTTTGGCCTGTGGATTTTGAAGTGGTTAGTGAATTAGCAGATCCTGAGGCTGGAAAGACCTTCCTGGATCATCTCTGATCCTGTGAGTTTTTTTACTCTTCCCAAAGGAGTGACATTCGTGTTGATGGTTGTGACAAGTGATTTGTATATTTTTGTGTGCTTTTCTATATTTATGAAGTTTTCTACAAGAACATACCTACACAGCTCTGTCTGGTGTGGCTCAGTTGGTTGGGCATTGTTCCATGCACTGAAAGTTGCTGGTTCGATCCCCAATCAGGGTACATGCTTGGGTTGTGGGCTTGATCCCTGGTGTGGGGCATGGAGAAGGCAGCCGATCAATGTTTTGCTCTCACATCGATCTCTCTCTCTCTCTCTCTCTCTCTCTCTCTCTCTTTCTCTTTCTCCCTCTCCCTAAAAATTAATTTAAAATATATACAGACATTTATACGCATAACAACAACAGAACCAAAAAGAGGCCTTTGTTTTTTAAAAAAATATATTTTATTGATTTTTTTACAGAGAGGAAGGGAGAGGGACAGAAAGTTAGAAACATCGATGAGAGAGAAACATCGATCAGCTGCCTCCTGCACACACCCCACTGGGGATGTGCCCGCAACCAAGGTACATGCCCTTGACCGGAATCGAACCTGGGACCCTTGAGTCTGCAGGCTGACGCTCTATCCACTGAGCCAAACCGGTTAGGGCAAGAGGCCTTTGTTTTGTGTGTAGGACTGTGAACTACATTTGTTTTATATTATTGTGCTGTATTTTGCTGTTTGTTCATTTTAGTGGGTGTTACTAAGCATTTTTAAAAAGTTATTATGTGGTTACTACATTTTTATGTGTTGGATGCCCATCTCTATGGTTTACCTTTATTAGATGGGAGTAATTCTGTTTTGGAATTCATAACTTTGGAATTCATGGGCATTCCTATGACCTCTCTCCATGAATGGTACGGGTACTTATGAAAGAATCTCTGTTCTCAAGGATCTGATTGTTTTGAAATATATTGGATGGGACTTGTTCATATGTTTATATTCCTTTTCAATGCCAATTCCATTGTTAGAGGACTATTAATAAATATCCCAGAATTTGTATAAAATGTATGAGTTTTATGTTCAAAACACTGAAATTTCTGCCCAATATTGTCCATTTTTCTGGGTCTTTTTCTTATTAGCATATTTGAAAAAAATGTTTCTTTAATGAAACCTATTAAAGTCAATGGCCAGTAAACATTTTGAACTAAAAATATACTGTCTTATTTCCTGTAACTGGTAGTGGATCTACTAAACAAAATATTAAATTTCCATGGTACCAGAAATAGTCTCCAATAGAAAAAGATTTTTCTACATTTATTCCATCTGTAGTCATTGTTTTAAGTGTGCTCACACTAAATGCAGAATCCAGGGAGACTCAGGGATGCGTCTGTCTCTTTAAATTATATAATTAGCGATCTTAAGGCCATGCTTAGCACATAATGAAAATAATAACTACAGTCTTTGGAGCATTTTTAATGTGCCAGGCACCTCAGTACATGCTTTCCATATATATCTCATTGACCTATAGAGCAAGGCTGTGAGGTGTTGATATATTATTCCTGTTACTGAGTTTCAGGAAGGTTGAGGGCCCTGCCTGAGGGCCTACCAGGAATTTCTGGAAGGTTGAGTAGTTTGCCTAAGGTCTTCCTTCCACTAGTTAGCTCCCAGATTAGACTTTGGCTCCATCTGACTAAAACTCAACAGTTCCCATTGCACTAAGTAGCTTCTTGCTTGTGACTTGCTCCTGGGTTAAAGGACTAAGAGAAGCAAGGACTGAATAGAGGGGCCTCTGTCTTAAGGGGCAGGTGCTTCTAGAGCCTTGCTGGCACTCGGCCCCTCGCTCCTACTCCTGTAACGGAATAGCCGGCACTGCGATGTGTAGCTACAGTACCACGCTATCAGCTGTAGGTCTAAGTGCCCAGCGTGAGCTGCCATTCCATGTCCCCAAATCCCTCTCACCCCCCAGTTTGGGGACTACTCCCACCCTGAGCTGTGTTGAAAGGGTTTGGGTCTCTGATTGGTTCAAGTGGACTCTTGGATAATCAATAGGAGTCTGAGGTTTCCTGTATGCCTTGGGGGAGGAATATTTTATTCTCTGGGAATAAAGGGAAAAGATTCTTCTAAAACATTTTAAAATCAAATATTAGTATAATTAGAGAATTTTAATAAAAACTTCAAACAAAGACCATCCAAAGGCCAAGATGAGAGTGTGAGAGCAACTATCTTACCCAGGATGTTTTTTTCTGTTGAGGCAGCTTGGAGCTCACTGAGACCCACAGAGTTAAATGATTACCCTGTGCCTTCCTGATTAGGAACAGGCTGCTCTCTACAGTTTGATTAGTCTCGCTCGTAGCTACGGGATTACAGCTTATTAAAACTGACAGTGCTGTGTAGGGCAGGCAGCCAGGAAGGTCAAACTCACATGCTGAGCCAGCCACCAGCAAGGCTCTGCCTTTACCTGAAGGTTTGGTGTAATTGGCATTCATTTAAAAATTCTTTTCCATTTCTTTCCTTTAAAAAAAAAAATACCTTTCAGGTCTCTTTCTCATTTACACCTTTTATCTCCCTTATTCCTCATAAGAGTTCCTGACTTATGACCACATAATCCAAATAACAGTGGGTACAGAAGAAGAGCAAGCCCAGTGTACTAGTAATTATGTGAGTTCGGATCACCATACATCCTCACAGTCCACTGTCCACAACAATCCCGGTTTATGTCTGTGGTGCAGGCATAATTACTAATAGCACCCCCTTTACTCTCAAAAGTGCCCTAGTTTGAACAACAAGTTATGTGGTCACCCTAGTGTGAGTGGTAGAGGTGGCCCACCCGGAGAGAGCGCAGGTGTCTGCCCAAATCGGACAGTTGCTACCCACTCGCCAACCGCTGCAGTGCCTCCAATGCTGTGCTGTCAGATCTCCCCAGTCTCGTGGAGAAGCCAAAAAGCTGAATTTTCAGGTGAAATCTCACCATTTTTAAGTGCTGGATCAATTTTTAAAGCCCATCAGCAGATGAGTGGATTAAAAAACTGTGGTACATCTACACAATGTAATACTGTGCCGCTATAAAAAAGAAGGAACTTTTACCATTTGCAACAGCATGGATGGAACTGGAGAGCATTATGCTAAGCTAAATAAGCCAGTCGGAGAAAGATAAATATCACATGATCTCACTCATATGTAGGATATAATGATCAACATAATTTGATGAACAAGAATAGATCCAGACACAAATGGCAGGGGAGGGGGGTGGGTTAGAGAGCAACCAAAGGACTTGTATGCATGCATATTAGCAAAACCAATGGACACAGACACTGGGGCAGTGGGGGCTTGCCCCGGATGGGAATGGCTGGGGGTGGGGGGGTATCAATTGGGGAAAAGAAGACATATGTAAAACTTTAGACAATAATAATATATATATATATATATATACTGGTAGCCCAACAAAACCTAGGTGTGCCTAGTTTGCAACCTTTGAGTTAGAATCTGGAGGGAAGTTATTTTTAGCAGTTTAAAATTCTCAGTGGCTCATAAAATACACAGAAAAAGCACCTCAAGTTTCTAGCTCCTGCAGCTGATCACAGGTTCCCACGTGCAGAGATTCTCATGTTCTGACTTCATCGCATGATCTCCACACAGCTCCCAGGACCACTCTAAAAGGCTTAAAGGGGCGGGAAGCATGATCTATCTTATGGATGGGAACTGTTAGGTCTGGGGGAGGAAGGCTAGCAGTTGCTCTGTCTTTCCTCTTAGGGAGTCTGAACAGACATATTTCTTCCCAGTTACCACTTCGGCTGTCCTACATCTTACCCTATTTTCTGCTGGCTCTGCCCTTTCAGGGGCGGTAATGATTTCCCAGTTCTCACTTCCCAGTGATCCTTCTGACTTCACAAAACCAGTTGCTACAAAGATATAAGGGCTCTCATTGCACCGTCCAGCATTAGTCCTCTTTGACACAGTGAGAGCTCAATTATGTTTGTCAAGTGAACGCAAATCCTCCGAGCAGTTGAGGCGTTAGCTGCAGACTTGA